ACCAACTCTTCACTCAGTGCAAACCCTCGTAACAAGGGGTCAATGGAATCTCATGAGGGATAACCAGGACTTTGCAACAGTTCTGAACGCGCTACCAGGTCTTTACGAGTGGCAGGGCTCGTATAGTAAGCCGAAGTCTAAGAGCTACATTACCATGGCTGAGTTCCTTCCTCAATTGCCACGTCACGTCACGAATCTGAGCGTTTGCCTTGAGAGTGACTATCGCCGGGAAGGAGTCATGCCTCCCTTCTACTCCAAGGTCGTCCAGAAGACACATATCTGCGCAAGAATGGCTGAGATATTGCCCTCGCTGGAGCATTTTGCGTATACTGGTCGTGTTTGCCACCAATTCTTCGACATAGCCATGCGATTGACAGATTCGCGAGACTATCGACTCAAGACACTGGACCTGACTGTCAAGAATTGCTGCCGCTACAACACTAGCTTCCACGAGGCTGGCTCTGGTATCCAAGATATGGGATTCATAGACGCGTTTGAGAGGCTGGTGCTGTCAGCAATTCGTGCACTGGAGAAGCTCAAAGGGGTGGTTTACTTGAGGATTCGATTTGTTGATCTCGGTACGTTCGACTGGTGACCCGATTGTTTATTATTTACTAACATACGTGCAGATTCTGTTCTACCACCTCTGAACCCCTTCTTTATCATGCGCAACGGTGCATGCTCTGGTGTGTGGAGCGAGAGAATCTTGGCCGAGATGGGACGCGTCCGTCCCGATGTTCACTTTACTGAATTGAGCGAGTCGTTTGGCAACATCGTCTATAACAAAGATGGAAGAATGGTCATTACGCCTGAGCCTCCGAAGACGAAGATTACGTCTCTCAAGTTGGCAAACTACCGCTCTCTCGCGACAGGCATTACAATCCAATAAGCAGATCAAGCAACTGCACTGCTGCGGACAAAATTTCGAGAAGGCTTCTCAACTCCCGACATGAATCATTATTCGTTTCGCATTGTTATTGTTATTTCTTTTTTGGGGCAGGCGTTTAAGGATTGGACCTTTGGTCGAAGGGAAGCTGTTAATCGAACCACATACCCAGGAGGTGGGAGTTATGAGGGCGCATGGACACACGGGAATGGCGGGCTTGGCTTTGAGAAGAATTTGCTTGGGATTTGTGTCAAAAATTCATGAAGAATGGAAGAGAAAGTAGCGCGATTATTATCTCCAGGACGCGACTTCCATATACCCGATGATACTGGCGATTTGGCATTATAATTGATGAATAAGATTGTCTGATATTCAGTTCCTATATCCCACTAATTCTAACGCCATCAGAATAAACAGCTGACGTGAGAGTCTACTCAACATGGAACTTAACGGTTGATCTAGTTGACTGGCGAGCCCCATCACTGATTATAACACCCAAGATCCAGCAGTTGACCAGGAAAAAGGCGATCGAGGCAAGCCAAAGGCCTGGGTAGAATGTGCTGACGCCAAGGAACTCGAGTTCATATCCTTGTTGCAACCAAGCTGCTTGCGAGACAATCCAGAGCAACAGCGCAAAGATGCCGAGCTTGCCATTGCGTAGGAAGGATGAGTTAGGGAGGTAGAGCGGCAGGAAGATCATGTACCAAAGGAAGTACTGTTTTACAGTGTAAGCGAATGGGTGTTGATTGCGAGAAGAGGCTGCTTACCTGAGAAGTGCAAACCTTGTTGAATGTAACAAAGGCAAACGTCTGACCCATCATGGATATCGCAAGGTCGCGCTTGGCGAGAGCCAGAGGGATGAGGACACATGATAGAAGGAGCTGAGGGAAAAAAGCAAACGACTCGATACGGAATGCAGGCGTCGCGTGAGCGGGAGTCGCAGATGTGAGATACAGCAAGACGTTGTAAGGCGAGAAGTTGTGGCGATGATCAATCCTGGTGACATGATGAAAGTAAGTATGAACAAGGAACGGAGTCTCATAGCTAGAAATCGTTTAGTTAAAAGAACATTGAGATCTGTGTAAGGAGGCTTACATGGCAAACATGACGAGGTTGAGAACCATGAAAGTAATGAGGCTGAGAAGGCCGAACTTGAGACGATCTGGCGTGAAGAAGTTTGCGATTGCCTCTTTGGCCGATGAAAGCTGACGAGTAGGCTTTGTCTCCTTTCCCAAACGCGCATCATCCATCCACCAGATAATCGCCGGTGCGTAGATAAAGGGATAGATCTTGAAGTGAACCGACACTCCTAGAATGATGGCCGCAAGGCTGAGCTTTCGCCTATCAACAGCCCACAACAAACCCATCGTCAAAACTCCCAACAGACCCTCTGAACTTCCACGAGTACTGATAGTCGCAACCATTGGGTTCCACAACCACAAAGCAGAAAATCCTCCAGCCGTGGCCTCATCCATGCCCCTTCTTCTGAGCACGCGCAGAATAAGCCATCCTGCGAGGAGATCCGCCGCAGCAAAGACGAGCTTGCCAAAGGCGGGGAAGTGAACAGTCGGGAGCAAGAGCCAGGCTAGAAGGGGCGTGTAACGATATGTGTCACGGGCGTACGGTGATAGGCCATCTGCAACGAAGCGCGAAGCGTCGGTGAAGACGAGATAGTCAATGTCTGTGTATTTGAGAGCTGAGTGGGCATCTTGGTAGAGGCCGTAGAAGAGAAGACCGAACCGTAGAAGGAGGGATATGGTGAAGAGAGGCGTCGTGCGCAGAAAGGGGGCTATTGAGGGCATTGTGAAAGACTGATACGAGATTTTGTCAAGATGACAGTTGGCGGTGAGTATGTGCGTGAGATAGCGAGTAATGAAAGTTGGTAAGTTATTAGTACACCATGTCTTATAGAACAGTTTCTCTTAATGAGGTATTCTCAGTTTGATTCAATCTTGTCCCCAAGTTGCTGTCGTGTGCCAGTCAATGGCAGATTCTGATGACAAAGAATTGAGGTTTCATGCTCCGAGTGAGAGCTTGAGGTGACTTCCAAAAATGGACAACTAACAATTTCAACGTCATCCCTGCAAACCCGCACTAACAAATCAGGACCCGCCATCAAACTAACCTCCGACATCATCGACCACCGAATCAGAAAAAAGAAAGAGCTTCACTAACAAGCCTTTTATTCTCAGCAGTAGCCAAAATGTCAGGCGGTGTTAAGAGAGACCGCGACGGTAACGCTCGTGCTAAGAACGCGGGCCCGCCAAAGCAGTCTGGCCCAAGGGGAAGGTTTCACGATATGTTTGAAGGTTTTCGCGATGAGCTTGATGAGCATCATGATCGACGAGAGAGGATCGTGAAGGCTTCACGAGATGTTACGGCTATGAGCAAGAAAATGTGAGTTTACTGAGAGTGCCCCTCTTTAATTGGGAAATTACTGACAAATTTTATAGCATTTTCACACTTCAGAGGTGAGAGCTCATCTAAGATCAACCTCAGTGAATGTTTGCCTGCTCACATATCATAGAGTCAAACATCTCAACAAAGACTTCCCATCTCACATTCAACAAGACATAGATACTCGTCTTGAGGAAATCGCTAAACTTCTCACTGCTATCGCTCCCGATCTGCAAAACGTCAACCGCTACCGCTACACCTCTCCCCTGCGATGCCTTGAAGAATATGTCGAGGCGCTATCTTTCGCACACTACCTCCGCCACCAAACCGTCATCACTCCCACACAAGCCCAAGCAGCTATGCCAGAGGGCATGACACTGACGCCGCACGATTACATGTACGGTATTTTCGACCTCTTTGGCGAGCTGATGCGCTTTGCGACTGTCACGACAGCCCAGACGGGTGAGTTGGCTGGTAATGGAGAACGAAACATCATGGGTGACATTCAAGAGCTTGGATGCGCCTTTGAGCTTCTGCCTGATGTGCCTACCAAGGATTGGAGGGGTAAGATGGGCGCGATGAAACAAAGTGTCAAAAAGGTTGAGAAACTAGGCTACGGACTTGTGGTGAGAGGAAGTGAGAGACCCAAGGGTTGGGTTCCGGATATGAAGGATGACGCGCCCGAGCCTACGTCGCCATGATTCGAAGGTTACGACCTGATGTGACGAAACAGTGGAAAGGGATGCTTGTTGTGGGAGACATTATATTTGCTATGTGGATGAATTGCTAGAGCTGTTTGCTCTATTATCAAAGGATGTCTCTATAGTCGGGCCACAACACTTGCTGGAACACAAGAAAACGATAGCTTCATGTCAAAAGATCAAACAAAGGTTATTCTTGCTGCATGAAACTTGGATTAAACATGAGTAAGGATGACTATTGTTCTGCAGTGATTGAATGGTTCGGTCGAATGCACTATCGTGAAAGAGGCTCCGACACCAACCCTTTTCATGCATTGATTCAGATTTCATCCAACGATAAGGGACAAGATGTACAAGGCATATTCCGCGTTGTTGAATGACAGTTATGGGCAGCAAATGTTGCTTCTGTTATGTGCAGGCAGCCGGTTCACAGCTGTTAGTCCAGAACAGTGAGAAGCAGAATACCGTAATAGCCGCTTTGTACTGAATGGAAATTACCTTCAGTGAACGGTACTTGGTAGAGTAGTAGGTGTTTTGTTTTTGCTCCATCCTCTCATTGTTGGCTTCTTTCTTTCCCCACCATCAATCAACCACCCTGACTGTTCCTCACACACCATAACGCACTCCTTTCATTCTTACCGCTGGAGTAAAAACTTGGATGAAATAAAATTTTGCACAAATAATTAGTTTTAATCCAGTCCGAGTATCGCCGGATTTCTGGCCGTGCCGACAACGATTCGAGATTATTTCTTGATTGCCTGTGTATTCAGGCTTCTACCCAACCCTTCCCTTTTCCCCTCCTACAACACAAATACCACAACATCTCTCTTCTCCAAAGCTCGACCTGGGACCCCCAAGCCATTTAAAAACCCTATACTGGATTCTTATTATCTAATCGTTTCTATCTCCCAGATCGCGTACTTCTCTTGGCTATTCGCATTTCGGCGTTCACGCTTTGGATCAGTCCAGGGGTTTTCTCTTCCGAGCCTCACACTACTACAAATGACGATCTAGAAATGGAGACCTCACATTCTTCCGTGGACGAGAAGCCTGCGGGAGGCTGGCAGAATTATATGCAGCCGCCCGGCCACGGCCAGAACATCACACAGAATAACGCCTCGGTGCATCAATCGAAGGCACCCGCCCTGGGAGTCGGAGCCACAGAACCTCTATGTCGTCGAACAACTTTCTTCGTCAACGTTGACTGGCGAATGGGCGCAACGCTTGCGACGGCTACCAACATTGTCGGTCAGATGTACGTTGAGTGCCTAGAGCCTGCTGAGAGGCTTCATCCGTACCCCATCATTCTCATCCACGGAGACTTCCACACTGGTCAGGTAATGTCGGACCCCTTCTCCTCTTGGAATTGGCAGACACTAACTCCCTGTAGGTTTAGACAACCAAGCCAGATGGTCAGCCAGGATGGGCTTCTTTTTTTCTCAAGAAAGGATTCCAAGTCATGATCGTCGACCTGCCTCCTTCCGGCCGTTCCAACTTCCTTACGACTTCCCACTACACTCACAGAGACGTGGGATTGAACTCGAGTTCTCTTAAAGCACCAGCCGTCGAAACTACGCTTACTGCACCTGGTATTCCCAGAGCTCCCAATGTGCCTCTCCAGTATGAGAAAGCAGCATTCCACAACAAGTGGCCAGGCGTAAGTGAATAGACTCAGCATTGTTCATGCTCACCTACTGATGACGTGTAGACTGGACAACGAGGGGATCCCATATTTGCCAAGTACTGTGCTTCTTTGGTAACTCTTCACCTCAGCAAAGTTGAACGGCAGTCACTCGCCCAGAATGCCCTCCAGGCTCTCTTGCGCCATGTTGGAAAGTCGATCCTCGTTGGTGAAGGTGCTGGCGGGAACACAACTTGGCTAGCAGCCGATGTCGAGCCGGATCTCGTCGCTGCGGCTATCGCCGTTGAGCCTGTGGGACCTCCTTTTGGAACAGCATGCCCTAGAGAAGGAAATCCCTATCGCAAATTGAACCCCTTTATCGAGAGACAAGAGGGAACTCGACTCTACGGACTCTCCGATATCCCGATCACCTATGATCCTCCCGCTCATCATCATGAAGGATACGACCCTCCTTCGAGAGAACCTCTGGATTTGATCAAAGTCATAGCACCAGATGGAAGAAGCGAATGCTTCATGCAACGCGCTCCCGATGACAGGGCAACTTCAACTAACAAACCGAGTGGCAGAGTCCGCCAACTTATCAATATCAAGAAAGTTCCTTGCATTATTGTCACCGCGCACGCCAGCTCGCATTCGATGTATGACTGGGCAGTGGTAGCATTCCTGATGCAAGCTGGTGTCGAAGTCGATTGGATCCGACTTAAAGAGGTTGGGATTGAAGGCAATGGACACCTAATGTTCCTCGAAACCAACAGCGACGAAGTTGCTCAGGTGTTGAATGATTGGATCTCGAGGAAAGCGACTCCCAAGTCCTTTTTGGATATGCCGAACAGTGCCCCGGCTCCAGAGCCGACAGATCTTGCTGAAATGATCGAGCTAGCCCAGAAGCACAATTTATCGAGTGTCGTGCCCAGCAGCTTGCCTTCTCCAGGTCAACCGGTACAATTTGCAACTCCCCAGCTGAAAAATAACCCAGCAGTTGAAACAAAGCCCTTGGAGACACCTCAGCTTCCAAGTTTTGAAGCGCCAAAAAGTCGTCCGATTGAGACGCCGCATCTGCCATCACTTGAAGACTCAGGCAAGCGACCAGCCCTGTCTTCAGGACAAACAACCGTGAGCATGAACGAATATCACGGGTCGCCTCTCCCGCTCAAAGCTTCTGGGCATAGTCGCAAGCGAGCTAGGTTCGACATTCCGGAGGTGGCGTCTACTCCGTCATCCACTTCTTCCTCGCTTCCTCGGTCGAACCAGAAGTCTTTCGAGCAGGAGCAGCAGCAGAATCGCCCTCACCAAGCCCCCCAAGCTCCTCACCAGCAAAGCCAGGTACCTATCACGGACCACATTATGCCTGATATCTCTACGATGAGGCCTACTCACCAAGGAGGTCCTGTTAGGGTAAGACAACAGGAGACTGGAAGCACTCGCTCTCCTCTGGCGAGTCCTGCATTCAGTCTCTCCGCTTATGATCAATCTTCTAACCCTTTCACCAGCCGACCAGGGAATTTTCCTGATGAACTATCTCTTGGACAGCAGTTCAACCCGGCGTACAGAGACAACCAGCGAAGTTTGAATTTCAACAACACTCACACAACAGCTCGATTCGAGCGTAACCCTGGAACAGCAGAAGAGTCCATCGCCGCGATGGCCATGAACAACCCAAGCCGCACCGACCCTGGTCTGTCCTACCCTTCCATGGCAAGCCAATCCTACCGGCCAACCACAACGCAGCCGCAGCCGCAGCAACAGATTCCTTATCTTGGACAATTGGGACATTCCCCTACAGTGACTTCCGAAGGAGAGTTCCGTCCACTCTCAACCCCCACCTCCGCGGGACAGTTGATGAGCGTGATGGCCCTAGATCCCCTCTTCACTCCTCTACCGTCATTCTCGGACTTGGGTAGTCATGAGCAGAATCCTTTTGTCGCATATCCGCAGATGACGCCTCCGAGCCCATCTCCAATGCCTAGACCATCGTCGTTGATGAACCCGCTTTCATACAATCTTGATACGGGGTCATCTCACCTGACCCAATCGCAACGCAAGTCAACTCCCCGATGAGATTGAAGAGTTTCGAAGTACTTTGAGAGTATATGGAAGATTTTGGCAGGGTAAGATTTGCTACGGAGATAGGCGTACTCCGGGAAGAATACTGGGGTGATGAAATCCATGGTGATCTGGGAGATTAATGCAACTCAGACATATAACTCGACATAGCTTCTTCCAATCTAATAAAATGGAAAGTTTCGACACTCTTCTGTTTGAAACTTATCATTGTAGAAACAGAACTTCCAGTTCTTAAACGAAAACCATCTCTAACAGTAAAGAACCAATCAAGTGAAGGACATCGTATTGTTTTGGTAAAGCTCCAAGCTCTGGTTATCAGTGGGGTTTGAGCTCGCTACTACATCAAGCTGACGCCATGCTTTGCACCGCCACTAGTTCTCGAGCTGCCTAAAACGCCACACTTTCCTCATTCATTTCCCCACATGACCTACATGAGCATTATCCCTTGGACGCCTCGCATCATCGAAGACCATCCCGAACTTTCCATCAGCAAAAGCACTTAAACCTTAAGGCAACCCTTCCACAGTCCGCGACCTTTTCGACGACATCGTACTCTCAACGCACCAACAACCAAAGGAACCTTTGATTGTGAGCTCACCTATCGTCACTATGGCTTCCAAGACCAAGTATCAGGCAGCGCCCCAGAGCGACCCAGACGACGACTACACCCACGCGCCCCCCGCCTATGCTGAAGGTTCCGCTGCTCGCGATGAGACACAGGGCCTTTTTGGTGCGCCCCGCGACAGCGAGGACAATCTTCCCGATGACTTCAAGGTAGGAATAGATGACATTCGCGCCGATAGTTGACAAGCCACTGACATCATTTACAGTTCGGCGGCTCTGTAGCTGAGGCTACAGTTGATATTCGCAACCAGTTCGTCCGCAAAGTTTACACCATTCTCACTGTTCAGCTCCTTGCCACTGCTGGGGTGAGCAGCCTCACCTTCTTCAGCGCCGGCTACAAGGACTGGATCCAGAGCCACCCTGGCGTCGTTTGGGCTTCAGTATGTTCACTCTCGTGACTGAAATCAATTCACTTGAACCGCTAACACGAATGCAGCTTTTTGGTGCTATGATCTTCATGGGCCTCACCTACTGGAAGCGCAAGTCCTACCCAACCAACCTTCTTTTCCTCTCGCTTTTCACTCTTGCCGAAGCCTACACTATCTCTGTTATAGTGTCATTCTATAAGACGTCCATCGTCCTAAACGCTGTTGTCCTCACTGCCGGAATCTTTGTCTTCCTTACTCTTTTCGCCTGCCAGACAAAGTACGACTTTACCTCATGGATGCCTTATCTCTTCGGTGCCCTCTGGGGTCTAGTCATTTTCGGTTTCATGGCCATGTTCTTCCCTTACAGCTCCACTGGTGAGCTCATCTATGGTGGTCTCGCCGCTCTCATCTTCAGTGGTTACATCCTCGTCGACACTCAGCTTATCATGCGTCACCATCACGTCGAGGAGGAGATCGCCGCTGCCATCAGCCTTTACCTCGACATCATCAACCTCTTCCTTGCCATCTTGCGCATCCTCAACAGCCAGTCTAACAACTAAGCGTTATTAGTCTTTAAAAGTGTCGACATGGCATAGAAGCAAGAGCTATGGCATGGTAGCTTGATTCTGATGTTTATTCCTGTGTTGCAAAGATTGTGTGCTATACCGGCTGGCTCATTTGAGTAGTACCTTAATATGTATGGATTATGACGGTTCCCTTTTCGGGACCGTAAGAATTGGCGTTTTCTGGAGAGTTTGCTTTCTTTTCCTTGACGCCATTTCCCGTAGTATCTCGACCTCGAATCGAGACAATAAAACAATACACAGAATTATACACAGCCACATCATCATTTTAGAGATACGGTTAGGCGAGCATTGAACAATAAATCGAATTACAAGAAATATTGAATTTATTTGATATCAGCATTAGAAGGCCAGTAGAAAAAAGAAACAATCAAGGACGTGTCGTCCAAGGATGGACAACGTTGTACGCCAACGTAAGTCTAGCATGACCACAAAATGGCACTAGGACACGGCGAATGTCCTATCCGCCGCTGATCTGCATCCATCGTATCGTAGTGCACTGGTGTCTTCATCCTTAGAGACACTCTATGCGAGCCGTGTTCCTACAACAGCCACACATGGCAATCCTCCCTTGATTGCTTCTAACAGGTTTGCCGCCTGCCATCAGACTCCCACAGCAATGCAGCGGAAGCGTCATGGATCATCTGATGGATTGCGGACAGCTAATGGCGAAGCAGGTTGGCGATGAAAAAAAGAAAACGACAACTCAGTTATTCAGCAGCAGGGGGAATATTCTCATCTTTCTCTTCAATCATAGGAGAGGAAAAACCAACGCCAGCAATCGACAATAGTCCAACGTCGCATTTTTAAAGCACCGCAAAAGACCTAAAATGTGAAGTGGTTGGTCTAGTTGAGCTGCTCCTCGCCACCGTTGGGCTCAGGTGTGCCAGCGTTCTGAGCAGCGGCCTCTCGTTGCATACGGGCCTCGATCTCACGAAGCTGGGACTCGCGAGCCAGAAGCTCTTGTCGCTTCTCGTTGATCTCACGCTGCACCTTGAGTTCGATCTCGCGCAGCTTCTCCTCCTCTCGTCGAAGTTGCTCTTCCTTGAGGCGGACGGACTGGGAGGCAAGATCCTCAGGGTTCATTGAGCTGTCGGCACTAGAAGGGGGTCAGCATTGCACTTGTACTGGATTTTGTTTAAACTCACTTTCCAGAAGCACCATCAACGGTCTTGGACAGCTTCTCGGTACGGTAGTTCTCGTACAAGAAATCATGGGTAATTTCCTTCAGATCAGCCAAGTGGCTGTGGAGCAGCGCAGATCGAATAGCGAGGAAATCAGAGTGACGAGGGTTGTCAACCTCGACAACACCCCAAGGGTAATGACGGGCGCGAACCTTACGGCCACCAATCTCAACAACATCCTCAGATCCAACAATGGCAAAAGGCATGAGGCCACGGAGCTCAGCGTTCTCCTCAACGGTGTCCTCGTCATCCTCCTCAATATCGTAGGGGAAGTTGTAGACGGGAATACGGTAGTGCTCGATATCCTCCATAACAAGCTTCTTGGACTCGGCAAGCTCAGCGGGGGTGAGTGAATCGGCGCGGCCAATGACGGGGATAACGTTGACGCGGGGGGCGAGTCGCTTCATGAGCTCGATGTCGAGTTCTCGGAGACTTTAACAGTTAGCGGAGATCAGGCATTGGCAGAAGTGATGAACACGTACCCATGGCCTGTAGGAGTAATGAAGTATAGCATAGCGTGCACTCGGTTGTCTCTGAATCGAGGGTTACGCTTGATACGGGACTCTTCGGCGAGAATGTCGTCGTATTGCCTCTCGAGGTAGCCAACGATCTCTGAAAAGCTAGCTTCGTTGTCAATCTGGTCACCGAAGCCAGGTGTGTCGACAATGGTCAGAGAGATACGAGTGCCCTCCTCATCAAGCTCAAGCTCTGTTCCTAGGTCAGTTAAGTGTATCAAAGCTATCGAGAAAGTTGTTGCACCCACCGACAGTGATGGGCTTGATCTTAACACCATCCTCAACGTGCGCGCCGCTAGCATCGTCGGACTCCTTGTGCTCAAGCACGCTCTTTCCGCAGAGAGTGTTGACAAAAGTGGTACGACCTGATAATTGTAAGCTTTGTTGTTTATATTGGATCGCAGGGAGGTGCTGTATGGGCGATTGCAGCATTCCCTATGTGGTAACGTACCAGTGCCTGAAGCACCGCAGACCATCAGGCAAAACTGAATACCCTTCTTGACATTCTTCTTTCGGCGGATCATCTTCTATTGGGGATTAGGTATTAGCCAACTGCAATGATTACACGGTAGTCGCGTGAACGTTTGGTCCGGTGAACCATGTGGAAACGGTAGCTTTATCGGCGGGAACAGTCAACATCTAGGGGAGGTGGAACATACGCCCATGGACGACATTTTGAAGATCGGTTTCGGGGTGACGGGATGAAGCTTAAAGGTGAATGAGCGGCAACGGTAGGATTATGTCGAGAACACCAAGATCGAGCAACGACTCAAATCGAGTATGGTTTTGCGGTGGTTGAAGTGGAAACTTGGGGAACCTGAACCAAGGGGAAAATGTTAAAGGAGGCTAGGAGCCAGGAGAGAAGGATACGGGTCGTGTTGGATTTGGGTTGCTCAAGGGGTTTGGCCAATTTCACACCTGGCCAATCGCTCCTGCTCTAGGATTCAGGGGAAGTACCTAAGCTAGAGTGCCAGTGTCCCATTTCCAGAGGGGGACGGCAGGTGCACCCCTACAAAATCCACACTTTGGGTGCCCCGACGCCCTGTCAAGCCAGACCGCCTTCCCGCCCAAGGGACCACTTAGCGGACCCTCACAGGCCTTGCTGTGGCGCTTGCTTGCAATCAGAGCTTGTCGTTTCGTTTCATCACGTGATGAGCGCCACAGCAGCTGGGAATGGAAGTGTAAGAGTGGCTGACTGCATCTTGTGGCTACATGGTACCGTGACGCGATTAAGTGCCATGTCGAAGTCAAGGAAGAGTACTTTTCTCTTACACCAAACATTGTCTTGTGTATGTTCCCGTTTTTGTACTTGAATTACTTGCATCGTGATACGTCTCTTTTGTTCTCCATAATCTTTAACTCGACATTACTTGGCGTATATTACTGCCTGTCTTCCTCAATAATATACAAACCCTTCGGTTACGCAGGTACCGTACCAGCTGCATTCACCAAACAGGTGGATCTGTAAGCGACATCAAATACATTGTCAAGGCGTAGACTTTGAGTTCATCAAGCTTCGAGATGCAACTCTACTTACAATAACTCTCGTTTGAAACTTCTTGCCGAAGCTTTCTCCTTATTCTGAGCTTGAGTGTCGGCAAGCCAGGTCCTTAACATTACCCCTCCCGGCTCTTACGCCGACCTACCTTGACAGATACATTATACAGTACTCGTACACATCAACCTATTCACCATGAACGTACGACCACCCATCGATGTTTCAGGCTCCGAGGCTGTCTTGTCCGTTTCTTTCAACAATGATGCGAGTTGTTTCTCTGTCGGCCTTGATTCCGGTATTTGTGGTGAGTTCTGAACTACGAGCTTGGTGTATAACTTCACTGACCGTTGTGTCTCAGTCTTTCATACCAAATCCTGCCTTCTCAAAGCCTCAAGAGGTATGTTTACTTTGGTCAAGAGGTTTTATCGGTGTTCTCACAATCCTGTAGATTTCAATGCCGGCATCGGCCTCGTTCAAATGATGGGCACGACTAATTACCTGGCTCTAGTCGGCGGTGGCAGGTCGCCCAAGTTTGCAATGAACAAAGTAGGATTATCCCGGAGCTTACTAGTAATATCACTAACCAATCACTAGGCTATAATATGGGACGATATGAAAGGCAAGGTTGCTCTAGAAATCACGACTCTCACAGCAGTACGCGGTGTTCAACTGGGTAGGGAACGTATCGCCGTTGTCTTGCAGAACAGCGTCCGGGTCTACTCCTTCACTAAACATCCAGATCTACTTCATATATACGAAACTGCAGACAACCTTGCAGGCCTGTGCTGTCTGTCGGACAAGAAGCTCGCATTTCCCGGTCGAACTGCTGGACAAATACAACTCGTCGAGTTAGCGACTGGTAACGTCAGCATTATTCCAGCCCATTCTTCTGCACTAAAGGCAATTGCTTTGAGCCCGGATGGCGAACTTCTAGCCAGCGCGAGCGAAAAGGGTACTCTCATTCGTGTCTATTCCACAAGCAACTGTGCAAAGCTTGCCGAGCTTCGCCGTGGTATCGACCCTGCTACTATCTTCTCCCTTGCCTTTTCTCACTGTGGTACTATGCTCGCCTGCACTTCGGACAAATCCACTCTACATGTATTCGATGTACCTCATCCGCGAAAGTCAGGGATGAACCGAAGTCAACAGATTGGTACTCCTGGAGCTGATGCTGGAGATGGAACGGGGAAGTGGGGTATTCTTAGCAAGATTCCTCTGATGCCTCGAATGTTTTCCGACGTTTACTCCTTCAGCTCGACGCATTTCGAGGCTGGAGATGAAGCTGCGATAGGAGGGATTCCTTTCTCGGAGAGCACTGTCCTAGGAACATCCCGGCCACCAAAGGGTATAATTGGGTGGATCGGTAATGACAGTCTGGTGGTCATAGGTGCAGGACACGACGCACGATGGGAGAAGTTTGTTATCATAGATGGCGAAGATGGAAAGCGACATTGCGTTAGGGAAGGATGGAAACGGTACTTGGGTAACACATGAATTAATGGGAGCTGTGCGACAAAGCTAGCTAATGATGACAAGGAGTATGAACTTTGATGTTGGGTAGGTCAGGAACGGCGTTTGAGAGGTTCAGTAATTAGAACTGTTTTGGTTCGTATAGCGTATTGCATTAGATAGTAAACTGCTTTAATCCTCACGACGTCTTGGCGATCGACTTCTACTTCGTCGTTTTGGCCTTCTGTCAGGGTCTTCGTCTCTGCGCCGTTTATGCCGCGACTCGTCATCGTCGTCCCTATGTCTTCGGTGCTCTCGGTCGCCATCTCTTCTTCGATCTCGATCATGGCCACGGTCCTCGTCATCCTCTTTTCTTTCTCTCCGTCTGTCTTTGTCCCCTCTCCTCTCTCGGTCATGGTCGTCGTCTCTATGTCGACGTGATTCTCTGTCTCGGTGGCGCTCCTCTCTGTCCGCAGGACTCTTATGTCGTCTTGGCCTGTGATGCCTATCCTCTTCGTCCCCATTTTTCCGTGACCGATGCGACCGATGGTGTCTGTGTTTGTCTTTGCGATCCTTCTTATCTGCTTTGCGCCGTGCTTCTTCGACTTCTTTCTTCTTCTCTTCGATCAGGAACCCCTTCATGGGATCATCGTCGTCGTGTTCTTGCATCAAAAGCGCAAGTTCTCTCTCTTCAGGCAACATCGGTCGCTGCACCTCTTCCTCTTCGCTGCTCTCATCTTCTGACACAGCTTGACCTTCTCGCTTAAGCATGTCCTCCCAGCCGACCTTGAACTCGTCTGGATCCTCATCATCCCGCATTTTGTATCGCGCATGGTCGACGCTGATCAGGCGACCGCTAATATCCGCTCCACCAAGGTTGTCGACCGCCAAATCGGTACTTCTCTGGTCTTCATACTTGAGCCATCCGAAACCTTTTGACTTGCCAGTCTCTTTGTCACGGGCCAATTTCAGCCAAACTGGTTCTCCGAATTGGGAGAAGATTGTAATAACATCGCCTTCGGATAGCTCGTAGGGTAGACCGCCAAAATAGACGTAGGCAGTGTCGCGGTAGTCGGTATGCCAGGAACCTTCTGGAGTGCTGAGCGCGTCTGTTAGCAGTGTTCAAGGGGTGCTTTCAAGGAGTATTATGAAGACCTACATTCCGTTTTCAATTTCCTTCTGGTTAAGCGCTTGGATCGCGCGTATTTTATTCATTGTGTGATTTTAGTTGCTGGCTGCGCAACTGTATGAAGAGTCAAAAATTATTGATGTTGAAAGTCGCATTCAACGTCAGAAACATCCACTGAAGCTTCAGGGGTCCGTGCACCACACTGTAGCATGGGACAATTTCCGGACCGAACGCTAAATGGACGGGGTATCGGCCAAGTGCCAATGGGGGAGCAATTGGTACCTGGCAACCCTCCACTGAGCTGGCCACTTTGGGCTTTTTGGTGAAGCACAGCGGTCGACGATATCTACTACGTACCACAAACCACCAAGACCGTTGAAACACAACTTTCCTCGCATTGGACAGCCTGAGATTGCGATACACGGCGGTCGAGTTTAACGACTACATCATCTTCACTGCCGCAGCGCGGAAGATGCTCCTACAGCAACTCTAATACCCGGTCAACCTCCTTTAATATTATCGAGACAACCCCAAACGCGTATTCTGCCAGAACGTCTGTCCAAGACAGACCCGTCAACAAACTTCAGATCCCAATTTCGACCGGAACACCAATCCATGACCTAAATTGTCTCGAATTCGACCTACAATTAGTCTGCCAGCGAGTTCGCTGAGCTGACTACTGGAGCCATGGCGAACAGAGTATCGATCTATACAACAGGTTCAGGCGACTCTGAAGGTCGCGATGGCGAGCAAAAGAAGGACCTTTGGACGTCTATGCTCGAGTCCGTCGCGAGCGGCAAACGACTACCGGAGAAGAACCTCATCGTTCTAGGTATGCAGAGACGAGCCAGCCATATCAAGGAACTCGATTAGCTGATCACGACTCTATCAATTCAGGCGGTTCCCCCGAACATCAAAGAGACTTTCTTGATTCTCTTTCCAGCTCCGAGCCAAGGCGCAATGCGGACCGGCTTAAGATACCACCGATTGCCAATAACTTTGCGCTGGGCTACACATATTACGATGTCCTTGACGCCGACCAGGATGGTTTGTAAATACGTTCAACGCAGCTTTGGGCGTTTAATTAACATTTCTAGATACCTTGGCACGAGTCTCACTCTATTTTCTTTCTCAACCGTCTACCGAGTTCGCTTCCTTAGTCGCGCCCCTCCTTACCCCAGAGACGATCCCCAACACTTCTCTGATCATCCTACTAGACTGGTCACAGCCACATCTATGGCTGCGACAAATATGGACTTGGGTTCAGGTGATACAGGAGGTTCTCAAGAAAGTTGACACAGATCAACACGCTCTTATGGAAGAGGTCATGTCTGCGTGGAAAGAGAGAGGCCGAGGAGGCGCGGCAACCAATCTCGACGGCACACCTTCAGCTACAGCAACTGGCAGTGATGGAGATAGCTCACTGCCTTTGGGACCAGGAGAGTGGGAGGAACCTTTGGGTCTGCCGCTCTGCGTAGTGTGCCAAAACGTAAGGTACCACTCGGAAGTTGACAAGGGTTTCACTAACAAAAGTAGGCGCAAAAAATGGAATTCCTGGAAAAGAATCAGGCATGGAAAGAGCCTGATTTTGATACTGTATTGCAATATTTGCGAACAGTTTTGTTGAGACGTCAGTTCATTCTAAATCACGAATGCCAGGCCTGGCCACTAACATTTTACAGATGGCGCTTCTCTCATCTATACCTCACAAAATGCGCCCTCTCAGCTACCGTCTCTTATTCATTCCACTCTTGGAATCACATCTCTCCTGAAGCGTCACCCACTAAAGCATAACGTTATCGACCGCGACAAGATTGTGGTTCCCACCAACTGGGACTCATGGGGCAAGATTCGTGTTCTTGGCGGAACATTTGACGCCGAGCAGGTCTCTAATTCATGGTCCGAAGATATCAGCACTCCCCGCGAGTCTATGCGCTTCAATGATGATGACCAAGGTGAGGTGGATGAAGCAGAGTTGGAGGAGCGGCAACAGAAAAGTGCGATCGCGCGTTACGAGGGATGGTGCCGTGACCCTAACAGCGGCGGCTTGGCGGTTGTCGAAAATGCCATGCATGGCGAGAAGTGGATCGCCGTGGAGAGTGACGATACTCAAGACTTTCTCGAGAAGCAGCTCAAGATCCTCGAGGCATTCAAAGCCAAGCAGCCAGAGAAGGGTTCCGATAACGCCATCGCCCGCAGCACGCGTCATATTGATTATAGCAATGACGAGAAGAGTATCAGCGAGCACATCGGCCCCGTGCAGTTCAACATGGGCGGTATCCAAGTTGACGCTGATGATATGTTGCAGCGTCTTAAGGTGAGTCGAAATTACCATCACTATTCAATGCAGACAAGAACTAACATCAACAGGATCGTAATGCGTTTTCTTCATCGCCCAGTAACGAAGAGGAGGAGGCCGAGTCACCTGCTGCTGCCATGGCCAAGGACTTTGACAATGAACAACTGCAGAGTTTCTTTACTGGTTTGATGAACCGCAAAGGCACAGCAGATACGTCCCGTTCTTGAGTTAATGATGCATAAACAACCAGACTAAGGAAATGCGGCTGGCTTATTTCTTTCTCACAAGATAGTCTACAACATGAATTCTAGTGCTCGATAAGTGTAACGACTTTTGGCGATAGGGGGCGGTGGCCAATGTAGAATACGGAGTAGATACCCCTGAAATGACAAATTCTATCACATTTTGAATATCCATATCCGAAACTCTGTACTCTGTAGAGGAAAGCATTTATTCGCTATTTAAGCCTTCCACTCCTCCATTGGTGGTTGCAACATCACACCACAAGTGTCTAGAGCCAATATGTGCTCTTTCTCATTTGATCTAACACTAGCCTTTCCACGTAAACGCCTTTGGTTTAGGAGCATCGCATCCGATATATAACATTAGTTGTCTGCAGCTAGTCCCTTCAAGTTGTCAACCTCGCTGGTTTGTATGTCACATTGACTTGCGGTTTTTGGCTGCCCAGTCTCGCAGTAACAACGCTTCCAAGCAAGCCAGGGAACAGCCACGGATGTTGCCCAACTTCGACCTCAAACGCATTTATCGTCTGACGGGCCTTGGTAGCAAGGTTTTCATCCGACAACAAGCTTGCGAGTCGGAAAAGGTTCGAAACGCTGACAGCGTTCGTTGATGGGAGTGACGTATCCATGCCTTCCTTCAAGCGAAGAATTACATATGGGCTGTTGGCTTTTGTCGTAAAGAAAGCACCATCAGCATCGTAGAACAAGGAGATTTGGGTTTCTGCAGAAGTTAGTGGAATGTTACACGAATAGGGGGAACAGAGTGTGACTTACGCTGCAAAGTATCAGCGAACTCAAGGTACTCCTGATTCTCCGTCAACTCGAAAAGGTCCAGCAGACCTTGGATCAGGTAGGCATAATCATCTGCAAAGGCAGCGTTTCCCCTTTCCCCAGACCATATCCTGTAAAGAACCTTCTCGTTGGCATCCCATAATCTTTCTTTAATACAGGCAGCGGCGCGCTCTGCCGCACTCTTGCACCTGGAGCTTTGCTCCGGCCTCAATGTTCTCAAGGCAGAAGCTGCCTTTGAGAGAGCTGACATGACAAGACCGTTCCACCCCGCTACAATCTTGTCATCTAATTCAGGGCGCACACGCTCCTGTTCCCTCTTTTTCCTCAAAGCTGCCTTTCCCGTTTCGATGTACTCTCGAACCTTATCAACCGGAGTGCTGAAGTGGTTGCTAAGCTGTTCAACGGTGGTCTTGACGCGTAGTATGTTTTGGTCAATGAAATCGTCGTTGGGGTCGTTCTCCTCGCTAACGTTTCCATCCTTGTTCACATTCCAATACGCCGCCAGGATGGGACTCATGTGGCTATCAATGTCGTCCAGGACTGATTCGAACTCACGCCACGTCCAGACGTAGTAAGCGCCCTCTCGCTTCTCCTTGTCGCCATGTCTATAATAAGAATCAGCAGCTTCACTTGAAGCAAAGCCACCCTCAGGAAGGGCGATCGGAGAGGTGGTGAGATACTTGGCAAGCTCAAGAACAACATCCAAGAACTCGCCCTGCTCGCCCCCACCGCTTGCCTTCCAAGCGTCTATATATAGGGAGAGCAACTGCGCGTTATCGATCACAAGTTTCTCAAAGTTAGGAATGCTCCAGTCCGCTGTGACGGAGCAACGAGAGAAACCAGTAGCTCCAATATGGTCGTGTAGCGCTCCGTCACGGATCTGGCGCAACGTATCCAGGGCAATTTTGGTGGCGTGTTTGCATTCGTCTTCTCCAACGACGTCCTGGACGGCCTCCGGGGCTGTCAAGAGCCCCAGCAAAAACGTCAGCTTCGGAGGGATCAAAAATTTGGGTGCCAAGCCAAAACCTCCATATACTGGGTCGAAGGTGCCGACGATATTCCTGTACGCCTCCTCCAGCTGATCCAAATCCAGCTCCTCTGATACAGTTGTGCTCCTTTCTTGAGTGACAGTCGAATTACTGGGAGCTGGTGCGCCCCAGCCAGCAGGACCCAAAGCTGAGGGTGCTGAGATACTCCTTGTACCCAAAGTGCCCTCAGCTGCAAACTCCTTGAGTTGCGCAACAATCTCGGTAGCCTCCTTTCGGCATCGAGCTTCTTGGTCACTCCAGATATCTCGGAGTTTCTTGAAGATAGTAAGAGAGTCGAGAACCTCGTCAGTGCTATCGCCATTGTGGTGTCGTCGTCCTGCAGGCCCGAACCAGTAAGTGCCACCAAAAACTGGCTCCAGGTTCGGCGTAAGGAACGCATTCAAAGGCCATCCACCAACATTGTGGACGGCTTGGACGTAGTTCATATAGATAGCTTCTATGTCAGGGCGCTCCTCTCGGTCAACTATAACAGGCACGAAAGACTCGTTTAGTACAGCAGCGGACTCAGGGTTAGAGAAGGTCTCGATTGACATAAGGCGACAAACTTAAATTGTTAGCCATCAAAATGCAAAGCAAATCTGACGAATAGATGATCACGCGACTTACAGTGGCATGCCTTGTAACCAATATGAAGAAAAATGAGTTTGTTCTCTTTGCGTGAACGCTCAACTGCCTCATCGTCCAGGAGCTGCCATGCGACCAAGTCCTCAGCATGATCCCGAATGTACGGGCTCCGACTGGAGGCGGCGCGGTTTTGCAAAGGCGAGAGGGGCTTGGGTAAGCTCGAAGCTGATTCATCGCTACTCACAGGTGTCGAGCGCATGGCTATGGCAGACGCGGTGAGCTCTGAAGCTACCATGGTCAAGGTTTGGACTGGTCTTGGTATCGGTGATTGCGTTGTTGTTGTTGTTGTTGTTGTCGTCGTCGTCAAGCTGCGCGAAAGGCAACTCGTGTCTATGACTGACTTTTGCCTTGGTGGGGAGGGCTACAGCTATCTGTAACCAAGGGCTGTGTTTGACGTACGAATAGCGATAAGGCTGATGATGTAAGAGCTGTATGTAGCTCTGCAAAGTGTCAATGAAGCTATCTCTTGACGTCGTATTGGTGTTGATGTCGGTATGGGAGAGATAAGCGAGAAGGATCCATGCAGACAGTTACAGTTGGAAGGTAGAAAACAGTTCCGGTGATTAATCACTCGGCAGTAGAGGCAGATTTATTAACGGTGGAAGCTTCCCGACTTTTGGCTGGATCCCAGTAGAAGCCGAGTACCTAAAAGGTAGTGACCTCAAAGACAATTCAGCGGGGTCGTCTTCCATGGCAGTCGTGGCGGGGGTCATTTAGCGCTGTTTCCGTTTTAGGAAAGGCTGGGATCCTCTTTGCATCGGCTCTCGTGAGTCAAGCAACAATAGTGCCGTGTTCATGAGTCGTGTAGAACATTTCCCCCTCGGCTTCAGGGGCTTTTTAAGAGTAACAATGGACCTAGGTAAAACTTGCTTTCTGTTTGCTTTTTCTAGCACTGCCGAATAACGGTCGCGCTTGCGGCTTGATATTAGTATGCGTTGCCTGATAGGTGAATTTATCACTTCAGTTACCCTAGACCCAAATCATGTAATCGATGGGCAACATGAATAAAACTCAGGCCAGTACTCAAGAGTCGAACGATTGATAGACACACATTCGATAGGTAAAAGAAATTCATCTTCTAGAGGAACTACTTGACCTCTGACTCTAAATATTGAAACTGGTCAATACCTGGGCCACACCATAACTATCGACTCTGTCGTCACCACAACCAAAATCATGATTCTTATCACACCAATCACAAACATCATCATAATATCTTAACAACGCATACAGAAGAAATCCAAGCTGGACACCAAATGTTAGCTTTGAATCCGTCTCCCGAAAATATGACTATGAAGGTATAGTCATACCTCCTGAGTTTGTTGACAGAGTGACACTAAGCAAACAACAGGAGCCTCAGTATCAGGGAACACAGACAAGTAGCACAGAGAAAATAAAAAAGGATACTGATTCATGGGAGGAAGTAAAAACGGTTACAGCATGACTTGTTCTTCAAGGTTCTTAAGTAATAGCTCCTTAAACGGGTATGGAATGTTTGTGGAACGCCTTGGGCCAACTACCACCCCAAACCCTATTTACAAAATGTAGAATAATTCTCATCTCTCCTATTAACAGAATCATTGCGAGATGTCTAGCTTCGACCCTTCAGTCGTCAAGGCTGGCGAGAGCCACACAACCATTGAAGAAACAGAAAACCAAGTCAGCCTGGCTTATGGAATGGCTATCCACGAACTCGATATCATCCTCGAACTGGTCAATTTTATCCAAGAACCTCCAGGAGACGACCCTGAAGCCCTCAAAGCTTACTGCGACCGAACCACCAAGGACGTCCGAAGGCTACTTGCAAGAATCCACATCAGCAGCGGGATATTGAAGGCTCGTGATGCCCAGTTCCACTACCACGCCAAACGTCTACGCACAACAGACCGTATCGATCGACTTCGACTTTGGAATCGAGAGAAGAAGCAAGAATTGGAGGCAGCCAGATTGCGGGACGGAGAACGAGGCTTTGAAGCTGCCAGCAAACGGCTCGAGGAGCAGAAGCGGGTGGTGATCAAGTGTTACAAGCTGGAGAGTTTATGGGACAAAGCAATGCAGCGGGAAAAGTCTGCTAGTACTCAAAGTGACGAGTTGTCTAGCGATTGCGAGACAAGCATGGAAGAGTAAGGTTTTGAGCGACAAGAAACTCGCTTTCAGTGTCAGGATCATAACGGCAACTTTGTTCGGCACAGTGGAACTTGTCATATTTTGTACGCGGGTACCCATCAAGCAGCAAAATACAGTGGTTCCCGTAATATTAGACATGCGAAGAAAGACTTGATGCAGTTACTGAGTGGGTGCACAAGTGGCATTGGCCAGGCATTGACGGGTAGAGATGTATGACATGATACGACTATGTGTTAGAACAGAGCAAGCATAAACAAACAAGTTCCACAGACTGGTAGAATGTTGATGAAATGTTGAAAAGAAATAAAGTTACAGAGACGATAAACGTTAACCTCCGGATATGGTCATGTCGCGAAATTAAGTTAGATTTACCAGGCCGTTGTAGCGTAGCCAGACAATTGTTGCAAACAGGTATATTCCGCGATAAAGCCTTATATGGTATGAAAGAAGGTATCGGAATTCATTTGACATGATTAGTATTGAACGTGGCTGAATCACAGATCTGATGCGGACATGATGCTGTTAAGCTGTGTTGTTAATGCATGCATTTGATAGTAGACTCTTGTAGAGTGGATCAGTTGTCGTTGTCTCACCCCTCCAACTTCTCACGCTAGAACGGCAACTACCAGCTTATCGATAAGCCGATCGCGGAACCCTTGCAACAGCTCTTTGGAACCAAGAGCTTCGTCTTGGTTGCCTACTTTGCTTCTTTCATCTTTTTCATCTTTTTATCTTCTTCGATAATTATCGATCGATCATGGCCGAACCGACGTATACCGTTTTTGTACGGGTGCCCATACCTCGGGGTGACTTTGTTGACCCTCCACCGGTAAGAAACTCCCTAAACCCGGTCACCTTTAAGGCTATCATGCGCGCGCATCTGAGTAGTCATGGTGAGGCTAACGTGAAGCATGACAGGTGAACTGGGACCCTGTCAAAGATGAGGCTTTATGGAAGATCCTTTCCGGAGCTGCAAAGAAGCAGATTGATTGTAAGAAGTCACACCATTCCTGCACATTCATTGGAGCTGACCTGGACTAGGGGACGAAATGTATGTGTCGATCCTCTGTCACAAAGTGCAGACAATACTTACTGAGATGCAGCGCCGATCGTTTCGAAGTCCCCGTAGACTTTCTCCTCCAGCAAGTTGCCTGGCTTACCGAAAGACATGCTTCACAAGTCCGCGCGCAAGTACGCAAAGCTACCGCTGCTGTTCGTGGCTCTGGTCCCTCTCCTGTTCCAAGCGGCGAATCCGCCGGTCCCGGCCATCAACGAGCGCACTCCGCTTTGTCCTATCGAAGAGACTCCCCCATGCGCAATGAAGCTGGAAGTGGTACAGGAACACCTCTTCATTCATCGATGCGGCCGTTAGTTACGCGGAATACATCAACCAATACTACTGTCTTGAGGGATATGACAGGGGCACCGGCTTCACCTCGACCAGGCGTTGGATTAGCCTCGCGAACCGGCGACAGACGCCGCCTTTCATCATTACCCATCACGTCAGTTCCCGACAAGTCTCCGGAGCAAACAGCCCAGCTAGAGCCTTCACCAGAAGAACGAAGCCTATCACCGGGTCCAGCCGAGGAGAGCTCACCGACATCATCCGATGATGAATCAGTCCCTGCCCAATCTCGTATAATTCGTCGGCCCCCACGGTTTCAGCAACCTGACGGTGGACAATCTGAAGATGACGACGACGACGAATCTGAGCCTGCTTTTCAACCTTATACATCTCCTTCCAGCAAAACTTCTGCCCAGGACCTTAGTTCAACTCTTAGGGAGGATAGGCATGGTTCTGGCAAACGACCCCACAGAAGCCATGGAAAACTCGCTATTCATAAATCCAATACATCCGACTCTTCAGCCAGCTCTGCTGCAATGATACAAAAACCTGATAGAACTGATAAATCAACTGAGCAGCGGACACCTGGTCCTCTCTCACCACGTCGGACTGGCGAATTGTCCGGACGTAGCCCAGGAGGCAAGGACAGGGGTTACTCTCGTGAAGGCAGCGATGGAACCCCCAGTATGGGCAGCAGTTATAGTGATCTTGACGGTAAGTTGCTTCCAACCCTTCCGAGACCTTCGAGTTTGCTAATCACACAGTGCCAGATGCCTCTGTTACTCAATCTGCATTGGAGGAAGCATTGGCCAGCCATATGAATAGGGGGGCGGGAAGCCGCTTTAGTATAAGCCAGGCTTTCCGTAGCCGCTATAACCCCAGCTCTAACCAGTGATTCGACTGACTTGTGTTTATGATATTGGTTTTTATGGATACTTGGCATGGAGTTTGGAAAACCTGGAATGATTGTATGCATCAAGAATGGCGTTTGCTGTAAGACGTAGGCTTTGTTGTTTTGACATGGAAGTCGGATATCCCACCTCTACTGCTTGGCAGAATAGAATGAAATCTGGCAATGAAACGCCAGTCTCTGAGAAATTGTGTATTATGATTGTCGATTGGATATGCCACAGGTTTGGTGATGCCGCACGTTACAATCAAGCCGAGTGATCATAAGTCAATCCGATGCAAGAAAACCACGAACCCATTTTATAAATAGTATTGTATTCTCTCATATGAGAGCAATAAGAACCTACCTACTAGTTTCTCCTCAATCAGCGTCAAGCAAGGTAAATTAGTACACTGTGTTGGCTTAATTTTTCTTTCGGCTGCCTGCAGCTGCCATCATCCCCTCCACCACTCCTCAGGGCACTTAATCACAAGCACCGATAAATCACAGACCTTCTTCCCTCAATATTCTCCCACTCTCCTCGTTCAAATATTTGGCCTTTCTACAATTTTGATCCTCCATTTCTTCAGAACCTCACGTCTTTCTCGCTTCCAAGCATGTTCCGCCGACACTGGTCGGGACTCCCTAAGGATGGCTCCTTTCCAAAAGACCTCGCTGGTCTTGGGTTCGTCATCTTGAGTTACTTCAAGATATTCGTCTAATATTTTGAAGGTATTTTGTAAACGATCAGGACGAGGTTCGATCAATCAAGGACCCGGATTACTACTTCAAGTTCCACATCAACAAGAACTCTCGGGTCAACGACCGTCAGAGGTTCCAGCTTCAGCGTGCGTGTCAACAGGCTGAGATGCCAAGTAAATCATACTAATTGGATCTAGATGCCATGGAAGATGCCATCCATGAGCGTCTTGAGAAAGAGGGGCTCAAGAAGTTCCAACTCCTACCTGGAAACAAGAAACAGTGTCCCATCTTCTTCAGCCCCAGCATTGCGAAAACCGAACGCATCGTCGTCATTTTTGGTGAACATCATCAAGATCTAGGCTTTATCGCCGGTCGTGTTATCAACGGACCTGGTGGTTTGGCAAAGGGCAGTATGATCTCTGTTGTGCAAGCACTCGCAAAGCAGCCTGCCTCCCCGAATGACCCTGAGCCTCCATGCGTGTTGCTTGCTAACATGGGTCAGAGGTACTGGTGGCCCGAAGAACAACGCGCTATTACTATTGAAGATTCTGCGGATATTCCTCTTCCTAGTCTGGTGCATTCTGGAAGGCAGTACAGCAAGGGGTTGAACGAGATTCCCGGAAGCGAGACTACTATTGCGCACATGACGACCATCTTCAACAAGGTCCTTGACGTGAACAAGAATGCCAGCATCGACATCATCGCCATTGGACAAAGTTGCGAGGTAGTCCTGGAGTTCTTCGAGAACACTAAGAACTGGGCTCAATGGGGCCACCGTTTGGGTGGTATGCTTCTCATGGGGACCGTGTTCCGTGTAGACTCGCTTGCCAATGCTGAGTTCAAAGACCTTCTGGCCAAGGTAACCCTGAACTCCCTCCTACATATCCACCATTTGCTAATATGCTTAGCGTGCTCGTGGCTATCTCATATCTGACGAACTTCTCGACACTCCCTTGGCGATGCCCGGTGGCAACCCGTCACTCCTGATCGATCCTCTCGGCTGTCCCTGTTTCTCTAGCGGAGAGAACCAGTACACGGAGTTGATACTCATCAAAGCACTTGAGCCAGCTCTTGCTTATCTGCAGGAGATTGCCCTGACACCCGGCTTTGTGAATCCGGACATGGCTGTCGCAGAACGTCTTGCAACCGACATCACAGACGAGCAGTGGAGTGAGCTCCCCGATGAGGTCAGACCCGAGATCCGTACTATAGACACTGAATGGATGGAGGAGGAGGTCAAGACACTTCGTCGTTGGAAGTACTTCGAGAAGCATGGCGTCGCACCCCCTGAAGAAGACAGCGATGATGAGGATTGACTTTGAGATTCGGGAGGCAAAAGGTTTTGGGCCTGGCGCGACATTGTTTGGTTTGCGGAGCAATATTGAGAGCATCACCACTGCGTTCTCATGGGCTGTAGACAAGGGGATATCATGTTCACTAAACAGACTAGAATCGATCTCAAGTCTTGTGCAGAAAGTAAATACACAAGACACAAGTAACCTTTCGTCAGGTCCCAGAATATACAAGTATTATATTTGTTTTCTTTTTTTACATCCTTTTACGTTTTGAATAGCGAGGCCAGGTTTGGCCCTGCTGGTGTTACATCCTCAATCAACTCTCGTGTTCTACGCACACGCTCCTTCACCACGACATCTTCCGCGGTCCATCGGTCCTCGGCATTCAGTTGGGTGCCGCTCCAGAAAGAAAAGACACCAGATTTCGTAGCAGCCTTTTCTTGTCGTTGTTGTTCCTCTCGAGCAAGCTTTGCGACCATTCTGCTCCAGTTGTTGAGACCTTCGCCTAAGCACTCACGGCATGTCTTCTTAGCCGCCTTATCAGCTGTTGCAAGATCCATGTTGCGCAGCTGCTCCTCCGCAACATCGACACTATCGCGTGTCCATGACAATCCGTCGTCCTTGGAGGATGTGGCGAAGAGAATCTCGCCGATCCATAGACTGAGAGAAGCCTCCTGGCAACGCTCGTGGGGGCTGCGCCAGGGAGACTGAGTGCCATCGGGAGGGGGAGGTGGGTAGTCTGCTTGTAAGAAAATTCGAACCAGATTGTCCAAAGAAGAGCTGGCTTTCGGCTTTACATAAGCAGCAGCGGGAGGGTTGTTGGAAAGAGAGCGACGGGCCTTGAGGAGGGAGAGATAGATAGGGAGGGCGGAGTCAATTTTTCCATTACGCGCCTTGAAGGTCGCTATAGCAGTAACAGCATCGAGAACGTTTTGGGAGGGCGGACCAGCCTTTTCGTTAAGAACGAAGGTCTTGGGGTTGTAAGGTGGTGTTGACATGTCGACTCCTTGGGTAGTCTCGGCGAGTGCCAAGTTGTACAGCGCCTCAGCGCCTTCCGGTTGGTTCTTAAACTCCATGTAGCTGGCATACTCAAGTGTAGCCTCAAGCTTTTGTCGCGAAGTCAAGCCCTTTGTAGCCAAGATCTTCATGTAAAAGTTGTCGGCGCTGGGGTATGCAACTTCGCAGTCCTCCTCGCGGGGAGCGTGGGGTTGTCCTGGAGGAATCGGCGTAGGTCTAGGGTTCGATGGTCCAATAACGAATTCGGGGGGTGAGATGATGTTGCGAGAAAGGTCGCGCACCCAGTTGTCGACATGTTCGGCGCCCTTTGCAGCAAGCATGATAGCCTCGAAGTATCCTCTTCTCCATTCCTCGCTCTTGCCAGAGATATCGCAAGGGTTGAACTCCCCAGGAATCTCTGCTTCAGGATTGACTCTGTCCGTAAGTTTTGTAACACCCTGGCCGTCAACCTTGGCATCCTCCAGTCGCAACACCAATCCTCGTGCCAATTCGAATGACCAAGGCCAATTGATCTCGCCGTTCTTCGGAGCTTTGCTATTATTCGAGTCCCTTAGGAATTTTCTTGTCATCCATCCCCATTCGTGTGGCGTGGGGAATTCCTGCTCCAGCGTCTCCTCATTGACAAAGAACAAAATGACGCCCACACATGCCAATAAACCCCAGAACGAAGCTGTATATCGAACCGCCAACTTGGCCTCGTGCTTCAGCCATTGTCTTCGTTCAGTTGTGAAGTATCGGACGCTATTTGATGTCACTGGGATAGCAAGAAAGGGCAAGTTCGGTCTTGATTTTGTGGTGAGTTGTGTATGGTGTGTAAAGGTTCGGAGAAGACATGGAGATCGGGTTCGAAGAGTTGGTACTCGGGGTGTGAGAACCCGGACACGACGGCCGACGAGTCGGGGACGCATGGCGCCGACGTTTGGCAAAATGGAAACTCTCTCGCACTCGACAGTTCGTTTCGCCCGTCAATTCTCGTCAATTTGGAATTAATGTCAAGATAGTATTATGTCGAGTCTTGGGATGATGAAGATCTCTAAAAGTGACGATATGAAAATTGAGCCAATTGGAGCCTTGAATCGCTGACTAAGGCGGCATATTCTGTGCGCCAAGGCTTTCTATCGCAAAAACCTTAGGAAATTCCATGAGCACATCAACTTCAAGATTCTTAATTGGTTAGGACAAGGAACATTTTTTGTTCTACAAATTTTATAACAATGTCCTCCTTTTTGTCTTCAGAAACCCTTTCAAATCCTAGGTTTCAACTATTTGCGGCGGCAGCTTTTTCAGGAGCGACAGTCGCATCGCTAATATTGGGTTACCAGGCATTGGAACGAGAAGAGAGAGTCAATGAGCTCAAGAACTCGATCCCTGCAAATGATCCTAACCTCCAACCTGTAACGTCTTCATCTCATCTCTATAATAAACACCACTGACTAGTAACAGTTGAACAACTTTGGTGGTTCATCAGCACCACCCGTCGATAAGGAAGATGCCAGGAACCAGGCCATGGCTCGTCGTGCACAAGCAGGAGACTTTGATGAAGAGCTAATTCTTGAGCAATTGGCGAGAAACCGTGTATTTCTAACAGATGAGGGTCTCGATAAGCTTCGAAACTCTTTCGTCATTGTGGTTGGTTGTGGTGGCGTTGGATCCCACTGCACCGCTGCGCTCGCCCGTTCTGGAGTTTCCAAAATTCGATTAATTGATTTTGATCAAGTAACTCTAAGCTCTCTGAATCGTCATGCAGTTGCTACTCTTGCCGATGTTGGTATTCCCAAGGTGCAATGCTTGGAAAGGCGCCTAATGGCCATCGCCCCCTGGGTGAAATTCGATCTACGACAGGAACAGTTCAACGAGAATGTTGCGGAGCGATTACTTCGACCTTGGGGTGAGGATGGACGTGCTCCTGACTTTGTCATTGACGCCATCGACAACATCGAGACTAAGGTCTCGCTCCTTGAATACTGTCACAAGAACAGCCTGCCAGTCATCAGCGCCATGGGTGCTGGTTGCAAGAGCGATCCAACCCGCATCATCGTTGGCGATATTGGATCTAGCAAAGATGACGGTCTTTCGCGCGCGACACGAAGGAAGCTCAAGCTGAAGGGTATCACAAGCGGAATCCCAGTTGTATACTCTACAGAAACAGCAGGCGCTGGCAAGGCCGAGTTGCTCCCTCTCCCCGAGGAGGAGTTCCAGAAGGGCTCTGTTGGCGATCTTGCAGCCATGCCAAACTTCAGAGTCAGAATTCTGCCTGTGCTTGGCACGATGCCTGCTATCTTTGGTCTTACTGTCGCCAACCACGTTATCTTGAGCATCACCGGTTACCCTCTTGACTACGTGCCTGCCAAGGGCCGTGAGAAGATGTACGAGGGAATGTTGGCAACGCTACAAAGCTCCGAAGAGAAGCTGGCACGTATGACCTACGAAGGCGACACAGTTGGCCTTAAGGTGCCTATTACCACTGGCGACGTTGCTTTCCTTTCTGAAGAACTGTACCGTGGCCGAAGCGCCATCAGCGGAATCCCTACAAAGCTCGTCCTTATCCGATGGGAGAAGCCCGACGGCCCTAGCATGACAACCTTGGGCGAAGGTAAGGATACCCAGAAGTGCTCAACAGTGAAACTGAGGGATCTCGTTTTGATGACCAAGGAGGAGGCAACACGCCACGAAAAGGGGATTTTCAAGGGTGGAAAGTCTCTCGACGAGGTATACGACGCCGAGACGCTCGCGCGCATTGAGGAGAAGAGGATAACAGCTGAAAAATACGAGGCTTTCCGATCATGAAAAGGGGGCGCTGTTCGAGTAACGTATGACTATCAGATATAAGATGTATGATCACGTCAGATGTTGTCTCAAGGCGCAGTCAGGGGATTTCATTTGATATGTCACGAATTGACGAGCATTTAGAGAAGGGGTCCTTCTATACCATTCGATTTCTTCCCGCGCATTTGTTGTTCTGATCATGTCCACGCACTGACACCTTCAAATTCCTCGCCTGAAACCTTACCCTCTTCTTCTGTCGAATTTTTCTCAATGAAGGGACCTTTCAATGCCACTCGACTACACCATGTTCCAACAGGATCTTATGATATGTGCTTCAACGATACCAGCATTTCACTCCAACTGTTCTACCCGATACAAGGCGACAAGAAAGATTGAAAGGAGCAGCATTACCTATTTCTGAGGCGACCTAATTAGCTTGTGCCAAGTCAGACTACTATCAGGAGGGTTTGCGCTCAGCTTGCCACATGGATCATGGCTGATCTGTTGTCCTAGGCCTCAAAGCCCTAGAATTACCCCTGGGATAGTGCTTTTCGAGGCGGTGATGGGTGCTTGCAGATTGATACACCACCAATGGTCCCCTCTCTCAATGTTGATCAGCTGCCGCTTATTGTAATTTCGGTGTGATTTCTTGTCGCTCGTCTAGCCTCGGGTTTCGAATTGTCAGCCCTGTGGTATGACAGCACCTTTGAGGCCGCAAAATGTAGCCGTATCGAAGATTTCACATATCGTCACCTATGATAAACTTCACACTCGACACTCATCAAATCCGCACATTGCCTAATAGCGGTGAAGTCCTATGGTAACTTGTATACAGACCGACTGCACTGCCGCCATGAAATCTTGACAGTCGGCCAACTTGCTTACCCTTGACTGCGCCCGTTGATATACACTTCCAAGCAATATCTGACCACAATGACGGCTCTCAACGTCTTGTTTCGTGGTGCATAAGATACAACCAACAAACATTTCCATCTCAATTGCAGACTATTGCAAGGCAACAGCATCATCAGGCTCTTTCCCCCTCAATTAGGGCATTTCACATTTGCTTGATAGACTCAACATTCGGATGCACCCTGCCGTTGAGAGACACAAGTGTCGCAGCGAGAGCTGGCTGGCGAGACGCGCATAAGCGTTGGTTGGCAGCTTGCATCCCAGGGCAAACATTTCGACCTTTGTTGGCTGTTTCTACAAACATTGGCAGGGCTTGGGAGATTTGACGACTGTTGGGTTGGTTCTTTAGACCGCTCTTGTGGCTCACATAGATATGACTCGTAGCAAACTCCCGAAAAGCCATTGAAAAGAATTCGACACAGGCGATATGTCGCTAGCCGTCTCTCAGGCTATATTTGATTGAATAGGATATAGCGATCGTCTCATGGCGAATTTGTTCTGACCATTTGCTTGGTTAAAAGGTCGCCAGATGCTGAGCCGTAGCTGTCAAAAGCAATTATGTAGCCACTCAATGGACGGCTGAGTGACAAATCTGAAACTTGCATGTGAGAAGTGATGAGAGAACAAGATCTATCACTCGGCCATGCCTTCATGTCAGCATCTACCCATTTTTGAGGAAGGTGCAGAAGATAACTCCTGAAAAGGTGTTGCCTTGTACCAGTTGGAGGCAATGTGTAGCCGATTCAAGCCATCGCCAACAGAGGCTGGCAAACAGAATCGAAGTAATGTCGTTCTAAAAGTGCAGTGAAATATATTGTGATAGCAAGGAGCTTCACCGAAAATGCAGAGCAAGTCCATTGCAGTTTGCTGCAGTTTGTCGATGCTTGGCAGTCTTTGGATAAACTGGCAGGTAACGCGCATACAAACTGTTACACCGCTCCTTTGTAAGATCAATGGACGACCGTGAAGTTTTTTGGGAAAGGAGGAGAGAAGAGAAGAGACGCTGGGCCTTGTCGCAGATTTATTGAGTGCAGCACACGGCGACCGGCGAGCCTCTTCGTCTGGTAGCACAAGACGACAATTCCCAGGAAGCGGTTGCGAATGGTAACACGAAATTTATGGAAGTGATACATGCCGGCGATCAGAGAACCTAGCCGTGTGTATGTGGATCACACATGCTGATACCCGAGGAATTGAAAATGGCCTGATTTCTTTCTTTTGTGTGACTACTGACTGTCCCGACGGTACACATGGGCTTCAACTTTTGTGTATAGCCACTAAGGTTAGTAGCCAGTCGGCATAGCTATCGACAGATGTAACTATATTATTGTTTCACAATAAGAAGTTGACGTAGACTCTGCCCTAAGTGTAAATTTCCTCGGGCATCTCTATGTATCACAGTGCTTAACATATAATACGATCTCACAAGTGTCACCCTCGAGTTGAATCAAGAATGTAGGTCATCTGCCAATGTCTTGAAATTGATGTTTTTCTAGTTGTGATGACACTTTGTGCACATCCCTTTCAGCTTGCTATGGACAAAGTTTGCCTAATTGCATCAGCAGTACCGAAACAAAAAGTCTTAAAGCCTCAGCAATGTTGGCGTGAAGATGTGTTCAGTAGAGATCAATACTAACCCCCCTTTATTCATGTGTAACCTTGGCAAGCTTTTGAGACTTAAATACTTCGCGAACGGTGGCAAGGAGGCGTCTTAAGGCAACTTCTGTTCTGGCAGATTGAAAAGACCTGGATCGAGTACTCGATGGAAGATCGATTAATGCGCTATTGACCACACCATCAGTATTTGATCAGCATGCCAACCTCAAATTATTTTGTGAACACAAGCTGTGTTGCAAGAGCAAGGCAACCGCTGATGGTATGTTCCAATAAGTGATGGTGACGGGGTGGCCACTAACAACAGTTCAAGGCTGAAGCCCCTTGCTTTGACGGCGGCTGAAAGCAATCTTGCACAGGCATTTGCTCATGATCGGATGGAATTCAAGATTGCTGCCTACAAGCTGACTAGATAGCAATAATTTTGGTTGTAAATACTTGACCAGTCGTCTATTATTCGCCCCCATTCATGTATCATTTGATATAATGATGTATGGCATTAGCTGTACTGATTGGTTATCTCGGAGTAGGCTGCACCACAGCCTTTTTTCTACGTAGTCATCCGTACGTAGGAGGAGTACAGAAGGATTGACCCGGTTCGGCATGGCAATGTTGCATCAGCTGTTATGGCTCTTTTGTTAAGTGGTTGGCCAGCCGCTCGAATAAAGGCCTCTTTCTAGAAGTCTGGTAGGCAGATGAGTGACCAATAACATGGATATTCCGCCGTTCTCCACTTATATCGGAGTATCGGTCGGACAAGCGGGGCCGGTAATCCGGCCCTCGTTCATAAACAGTCTGCAATTATAGAGTTTCGATAACAGATTCGTTAACAACGAGTTGGAAGCAATGCCAGCTGTCCAAAGTGGCGTTTTAATGATTCTTGGAGCGAATTCATGCATATTCCACACCTTCGTGCCGGATAGTATCTAACTAAGCATTATCGTGTAAGCAGTCATGGCTCGGAGGCCTCTATTAAAGAGGGCCTCATCCTCCGCCTCCTGTCTCCCAATTGACGAAGTCTTGTTTCTCTTCTGTTCTCGGATTTCATCTGACAAATTCAATTATGCATCCTTGTGGTATTTGGCCCCAGTAAGCTCACTTCTGCCTATAATCTCCACTTAGGCAAAAGGCTTTTGCGGGTGTTACCTGGTCAAGGAGTCACCGGGAATCAAACTCTCTTTTTTTCGCTGGGAACAGCCTTCGAGTCTAGACAAGTGTGGGCCGAAGTCCGGCAGAGGCGCCCCAAAAGGCAGTTGAGTCTAATTGCTCATCACGGTCCATTATTAGAGTTGATTCCAGAGAGGTCTCTGTTGATCTGCCCGGTCACGGCGTGTTGGCCATCACAAAAGCCATATATTGGTGACAAAAACGGCAAGTATTTGCTTCGCCTCAGCTGTTTGTTCTTCGAATGATCGCTCGATAATGAGGTTGGTTCAGCCGGTGCCACGGACCACCAGGAAAAGGCAGTCTGTAATCTTGATGACATTTCGTCATTTCTGATGAGCAAATGCCATGGTTGCCAAATGTCATCTCGATACGGAGGCTTCTTCGAGGTGATAGAAGACGGGGAGAGTACTGGCTCTCAACTCACAAGGTCGTCTCGCTGACATTGCAGCCTGATGACAAGCAAGCAATTCTCTGCCCAGATCTGGGAAAGGGTTGTCGCGTGAATAATTTATTCGTGGTCGTGAACACAGCCAGTATACGGGTGTCAGCAGAGCCACATTGTCGACAAAGCACTTTGCGTACCTGTGAACGAAATATATCGGTCTTTGAATGCTCTTTCAAGTCCATTAAAGAGTGATGTGAAGGATTGAAGTTGTCTGAATATGTTAGACATTGGAGTAAGCAGGGATAGAGAGCCTCCGATACTGCCAAATTGATTGCGAACCATTATGATCATAAGGGGCGGCTTGAAAATAAGCTCGGGGCTGGTCATTAATTGGTATCTTCTTGGACTTGTTTGTCATACTCCGGGCGTGTACAGAAGTCGGCGGGCAGTTCGCCATAATCAGACCGCAGCCTGGCTCTCCCATATCGATAAAATCGATAAATACGAGAAGCCTCTCAGATCTCCAAGTTAAAATTTCCCAATTCAAAAGGTCTTGTTCGTTTTATATCTTTGAACGAATTCGTGATCCAATTACACAGACCGAACTCCATCTATTTCTTTGTCGTTCTTTTTTCGAGAACAGATGGAGGTAGTCGGTCTTGACTACTTTCATCGTTGTATTTGAGAAACCTCACCTGGTGTAGTAATATGCTCACGCTGAGCTACCGACCGACAGATTTGACATATATGAGCAATACATATCAATTTATGTGTGATCATCTATAAAAGAAACCGGTTCCTTGCCATATCAATAAGTACGTCTTTATCCAAGAACTGATAGCTGAGAAGGTTTTCCAAATGGGGGGCAACGCTAATGCTTGAGATCTCAGCAGAGCCGCATAAAAGGCAGCGGGCGAACCAGGCCGCCCAATAAATTGCTACATTCTCAGGTATCATTCTGAGACGCCACAAATTGCAGCGGGTAAGTCATTGAGTTCCGCGTTTATTTTATTTTTTACAAGGGAGATGAATGCAGATACCTCCTCATTCAGCATCATGTCTGCATCCATTTTACAGATCCTTTTTCCTTTTATTTTGGCTTTGCAAACCAGTCATGCATTAAGATATGGGTAGTTGGGGAACTTACGGATAGCTCTTGCCCCTCTCTTCACGTCAACGAAAATACCTCTGTGGATGCCCTTTCTACCTTCCTGCCTTTCGCCCGCCACTCCAATTTTTCCCTGTTTCCTTCCCTTTACTCTCCTCTGCTCTGTTCTGTTCTGCTTCAATCTGCTTCAATCTGCTTCATGCTCACTCTTACGATTTGGACAATTGACAATGGATGACTGAATTATTTTCTCCTGCAACAGATCTAATTATCCGTGTAATTTTCGTCTCATACACCCCCTCCCCTCAGCTTCGCTGACCGGTTTCGGTACTGCCTCTATGCTGTGTCATTGTCAAGAATGGCGGATATTGCAAACAAATGGGTACGCCATCTCAGGACTCAGGATCGTCAAGTTAGGGACAAAGGAGGAGAGTCTCAATCCTTCGTCTGCGAGATTTGCGGCGACGAATCCCACACTATAGAAGCATGGCGCGAACACGCTCGAATCGACCCTGAGCATCGTAGTAGGTGGCCAACTGCACAGGCGGCAGAAGAATATTTTAAGGGGTGAGCAAATCTCCCATCCAACCGGTATGGTATAATTTCATACTTATTCTTTACCCTCTGCAGTAGTACCAATAGACCCGGCAGCCGGGACTCTTCCAACAGTAAGAAGCGCCGGGCAGACGCAACTATTGGAGATGCAGAGGAGCAGGCTCTGAAGGGACCTGCAGCCGATGAAGGCCAAGATGCCGACGATCATAGAGACAAACGCTGGTCCCCCCCGCCTGGGCCGCAGGTCGCTTTCAGCCGCAGCCGCGCCCGCAATGACACCCGGAGCGACTTCGAGCGTGGGCCCCACAAGAATACTTCCGGTCGTCAGCTATGGAACGAAGACAACCCTCAACCAAAGTCACATAGCCAAGGGCGTTTTGTTTCTCAACCTTCACCCAGACAGGGGCCATCCCCCAAAGCGAACAGGCATATACCGCTTGCTGCACAGCAGCCCCCTCCTCCACCATCAATTAATGATGATGACTCGTCTAGGATGATGCGCCAGCCAGAGACTAGGCCAATATCTCAAGATCAACTCGTTGCAGAGGTCAAGGGCATATATGCTGGCCTGGTCATGGTCGAGACTAAATGCATTGAAGTTGACAATGCACAATCATCCAATACAGATGCAAACTCAAAGCTCAATAACGAACAATGGCAGGCATTAATTGCACTGCATAGAACACTTCTTCACGAGCATCATGACTTCTTTCTCGCAAGTCAACACCCATCTGCCAGTCCGGCCTTGCGCAGATTGGCTTCTAAATATGCCATGCCTGCTCGCATGTGGAGACATGGAATCCATTCATTTCTTGAACTTCTGCGGCATCGATTGCCAGCCTCTCTCGAACATATGCTCACTTTTCTGTACTTGGCATATAGCATGATGGCCCTGTTGTATGAAACTGTGCCTGCTTTCGAAGATACCTGGATCGAGTGTCTTGGTGACCTCGGTCGATATCGTATGGCCATTGAGGACGACGATATCCGCGACCGGGAAGTGTGGACCGGTGTGAGCCGTCATTGGTACAGAAAAGCCTCGGAAAAGTCACCTACAACGGGAAGGCTGTATCACCATCTTGCTATATTGGCAAGACCCAACGCGCTTCAACAGCTGTATTACTACACCAAATCTCTTTGCGTTCCCATCCCATTTTCGAGCGCTCGGGAGAGTATCATGACGCTATTTGATCCTGTTCTTAGCAACAGCCCTTCCCGTCTTATTCCAATTGATGCCGCATTTGTGCGTGTCCATGGGATATTATTTTCTAAGAAGTCCTGGGACCAACTTGATGACTCTATGGCAAGCTTCAATAAACTGCTAGATGACCATATTGCTAGGTCCGTTAAGAGATGGCTTGAATCGGGGTTAGTTGATGCAAAAAATAAGTGTCTGGGCCGGTGCTAACTTGTACAGATATTATATTGGAATTTCTTTGGCTTGTTCACTTCTTGGTTACGGTGCTGAGTCCAACGTACTTATGCGTGCCTTGTCCAAGAAACCCGAGGAGACCGATATTCCCATGGATGGAAGCATAATCTCCGAGGCCAGCCCAGACGAAACATTCGGCCTTGCTCTTCAATTTGCAGTTGAGACGATCTCGGTTGTACTGTTTCGTTGGGGCGACACCAATACGTTACCGTTCGTACATACCATCATGGTATTCATGAATTACATGACTAGATACCCAGCAGCCATTTCCCACTTGGAAGAAAAATACCCCTGGAAGCTCACCTGTTTTATGCTTAACTCGTTGTTGACCTCTTCCGAGCCTGGGTATGAGGTGAAGGATCGATTCCAAGTTTGGGAGGAAGATCAACACCCACGACCATTGCCGGAAGATTTTGCCATGCGGGGCTTGCTTTATTCCGAGGACTACTTTCCCAATGGTTGGTTCCAGAGTGACAAGGTTGACGAGGATGAGAAATACTTTGAGTTGGCTTCCATGTCGGAACAACGTAAGGATCGCATCCTATCCTTGGGCTGCAGGATCGCTACTTCGGGCAACTGGTTGATATGGAATGAGGACACTAACAAGTTCTCAATCCCGACCAGATATGATGTCGACATACCTGGCTTACCTAACTTTCCTGTGTGAACGTGGTAGAGTAGGCCACTGGGGAGTCCTCGCTCTGGCGTTTGTGAACGGGGATATTATCAGTCGGTGTTTTTTATTTATTTACTTGTCTATTGTTTACTAGTTCTTTTTATCCTGCCAGAATTCCTTCGCTATCAAACTATCCATTACATCGTTGGGATTTGTACATATTCTTTTCTTGTGTCTATTATCTGTTGACAGTTTCCGTTTCTGGGTGGACGTCTGCTGAATGCTTGTGTGGTGTTGAGGATTTTGATAGAACTGGAGCAAAAGCGGAAGAATAATCTTGACAAATTGATGGATACCCTGTGATAGGATATTGAAGAGATGGGTACCAATAATAAAAGCATTGTTAATTACATTGTGAGAGAGAGAGTGGTACTGATTGCGATGTTTAACAAGCAAGAGCGGGAAGTGGGTCTCCCGCCCCCGCATCCGGACACTTGCATTAGGTTTACCGAACTGCTGGGTCAAAAATGCAATGACTTGGCCGCATTCTGGGCCTCATTGTGCCATAAAGGGTATCCAGAATTGGCCAGGATTGCATCCGAACAGTAACAACATGTTTGATTTTCAAATGACAGAGAAAATGGCTGCAGACACCAAACCACGTGTCACCTACTCTACCGAATATGGGAAGAAGCTGGCATGGTATGATTTTTGGTGTTGTCAAAACGTCATTGGTCTACGTATGCTTGACGTCTCACGACGAATCGGAGAATAACCATGACCTAGCACATTCATGCGTTGACAGGTTTAAAGTTTGTTTGGTATTGGGTTGGTTTGGGCATCGTTGGACATTATGGCTCAAGGTCGGCCCATTGAACCAGATGTCTTTACCATTCGTTTACCATCCGGGCAAATTACCATTTGCGGTTGTAGTATAAGACGGTCAGTTTATGCTAATTACTGTGGTGGTCATACAGCATGCCTCTAGTAATATCGGGTATGACAGTCTGGCGCGCGCTAGACGAGATGGCCATTCTGGTCAGTAACTGAAACCTTGACAGTTCATGATAATCATGTCAATAGCGAATGCACTACTATCACAAAATCACACTGTTATTATCAAAGCCTCATTCTAGAAGACAGGCTCTATAGAGATTGCCATAATCTTTCTTATTTCTTTATTAGATAAGAAACTAAGTCACAAGCAAGAAGGCAGTTGAAAATGCAGCCAAGAAAGTAATCAAGAAAGTACGTTGTCTCGCCCAACACATGATGCACCCAGCTGCCTCAAATCATAGCCGAGATATCAAAATCGAATCACATGGGTTTCCCTTGAGGCCTCCAGTGCATACGCAATCTAAAGCTGCCTCCAGTCCTCCATGGCGGGAAACCTTGTAGAATTGCAAGTAGAGAACAAGTTGCGCATCCTTCTACTAGGTTTGTTGTGAATGTCTGATCACCTGCATCAACATTCGAGTCGGGAAAACACGGCATGAAAGCAACGTGGCTGAGGCAGTAAATATTCGTAATCCAAGGGAAGAAGCCTTGACATGATACGATTCCTCGGACAAAAGTAAAAGGTTGAATGAGGAAGGAGGTCGTAAGCTTTTCATATGTTGTTTGACAAAAGGTAGCGAACCGAGGTTCAGCGGAATCAGTGACGCTCAGGTTGCCTTTTACTTTGTAAGATGAACCCAAACACAGCGATAATGCACAAGACACTCGCGTGTAATAAAGTTACGTTACAGCTTAAATTTGCTTCTGCTATACAAGATTCTGCAATAGAGGGGTTGTAGACTTGACAAGTGCTACGAGTAATGATGTCGTTAGCGCTTGGGAAACATGACTGGCTATAACATGTGAGTGTTGGTTCAACATTTTGTATGCAGCATTGTCAATTCTAGGAAATCTTCTAGAATTTCTAAAGACTTCCCAAGATCATTCTAGAATGCTTCTAGAACAATTCCATAGAACGATATACTTTGAGTCGTGGAACTCCAATCTGCAGTTGCCTTGGGCTCATCTGATAACTGATCTCGGAGTCCGAGGCCTTGAAAATCATGATAATAGTTACAAAACATGCCCGTCTAAAGGCCCGAAAGACAAATACCGCTCTACCCGACGAAGGACCTATTTCTGACCCCGAAAGTTCCGAAAACTCGATTACAAGATCATATTGATAATGCTATACGGCACGGATGAAGATTGACGTTGACGCCCCAAAGTACAGTGGAGGAGTGACATTTTAATCCTGGCCCCAAAAAGAAGGCAACCAGAAGGCAGACAGGCACCTAGAAATGAGCGAGCATATGATTAGTCGTCGTGTTGTACCGAACTTTCTTTACCAATAAATGACCCGCTATTGCAACTTTTAATTAAGTTTTGAGGCGGTGATAGACAGTTTGGCGCAAATAGGAATATTTAAGAGTCGTAGTCGGATCCCTCGTAAATTGGCCCCGTCGATTCAGGCAACAACGGCATGGCTATCTACCCTGCTAAACGCGGTTAATAATTAACCTGGCGGTAAGATAAACAGACAGATAGATAAACAGACAATGACGGTGAAGGCTGGGGAGAAACATGTGAACGCCTCGTTCCAAGGGAACTCCAATTGAGGCCTTCTGATATCATCCATTTGATATGAGTGCATATTGTTGAGGCCACCTCAAGCATGAGATCTAGGGTAGGGCTGGTAACACACCTAATAACAGTAAAACTCGAGGCCTTTACTATATGTCTCAGGGTATAAGCCATAAGGCGCCCGCATACATGCTACAGCATGACTCCTGAGCACCTATAAGGCGTATGTTACAGGTGTTCTGCGGGGTTCTCGACACTGGAACTTGTCCCGTCCGGGACATCCCGCGGTGAGAACTTGCATATTGCCATGGCTATGAGCTGTCACTGATCAACATTCACTGCTTTCTTGGAGAGCATTGATACCATGAGTTGATCCAAGCCATCAAGGTTCAAGAAAACAGGAAAGTCCTAGCATTGAACCTTTGGTATGCGACGTCGGTCAGAACATCGTGTCGAATGGGTGTCTATTGATCAGCCTCCATTGAAACATTACGTGACAGGAGATACTTGCTGATAATCATGAGTTCAACATTACTCAATCATGAGAGCTCTTGTGCGGGTGTATTGTTTGGTGTGGGTGACAGAACTTGCTGCCTTTTATGAAGGATGGTTCGCTGTTGCGGCTCTGCTATTGTTCTGCTCTGCGGGGAACATTGCTGATCTCCATGCTTACAGCCTGTTTCATCCATCCAATCCTCTGACATGGATCTGACTGAGGAGTGATACTACATCACACAAACCACTTGTTATACAACTTATAGTTGATGCAACGGGCCGGCGCGTAGCTAGCATGTTTCTGTGCCGTTCCAACCTCATTGTATGACAAGCCAATGGCCTCTTTTTGAGTAACTCTGAAAAGTCCAATTGTTATTTCCCATAAACGAGGTCACTCAAACCAGGCTTCGAGTAAACCCGAGAGGTTGAACAACTTAAGAAAGCCACGAGGTGCGGCCGAAGATGGCTGCGGGCGCCTCATCAACCATGCTCTTATCGCGCCTCGAATAAAATAGATGATGCAAATCCGACACATTTCTGAGGTATAATGAGTGATATTTATGTAGGGCGTGAGTGGCATCCGTATGACATGCAGAGCCGCATTGGGATAAGAGATGCAAGGAAGACATGGGAATGAAAGACCTGCCCAATAGCAGTCCAAGAATAGGGGCGCCTTTTTTGTCATGCAGGAGTCCTTTAAACGTCACAAATTCTATATTAGGCGACATGCACAAGGCAGACGCAGCCTGTTTGCAGAAAGGCTGCATCTATGGCGCTACTATTTGCCCTGCTTCTAAAGGGAGAACATGACATGATTGAAGCATCGGTTCAGCACGGGTCAAGATCTTTATTGTTTGTGATTTCATGTAATTTCAGTCTGCAGTTTGGTCTCAAATGATAACATGAAAAGGGGCAATTCACGCCATCAATTCATATAGGAAGGTGTCAGCTGAAAGTGAAGTCACCACCGTATCAAGGCTGATAACTGCGACATCTTGCTATAGTTGTCTGACGACCAAGGTCAGCCATGTCTTGATGTTTGACATCTGACCAAGGGTCTTAAGATGTGCAGTGGTTGATGGGATGGATGTATAGTACTCTTGCCATGCTTAACATTCTCGGTCGCGATCAACACAGAGAATGCTAGAATTTACAATGCTGATTTGCTTTGATATCAGGCTATAACCTAAAGCACGAAAGATGATTGGCATAACTAGAAATAGTCCATCGCGGATAGACAAACTACTAGTTATAGTAACATATACAACGTGACTGTAGAAGCATCGCTGCCACAGCCACACACTTACACACCCACAACATACATCGCCATCGGGGAGTCGGAGCTCATCTCCGTATATATTTCCTATCAGGCTCCTTGCCATCTATGCGTATCTTTAGTCCTTTGCTTTCCTGTAGACAATCTGGAGGGCACTTTCGACTGAGAAGTCAGCACAGCAGAACTTCCCTGCCTGGTTTTCTTCATATTGTGGCTTTCTGAGAGCTATACTTTATATTTCATTGTCGTTACAACTTCAAAGAATAAGACAAGCTTTATAGGCAAAGTTGGCTGGTGTACAGTTTTGGTGATAATGGAGCAGCTTGAGCCTAAAGTAGAGGTTACGGGTACTAGATATCATTATATCCGGCATTTTCAATGTTCTTTCAAGAAAACACAATACTTTATAGTATCGAAGCTAGTGGTCTTAATGAGCCGTAATGTTGAAGACGTAAATGTCCATCACTTAACACCAGGGGCGATCCATTACTTTCGCTTGCATGCCAGATACTGCAAGTTTAGTTATTGCAACCGGTTTTAGAACCTTAGAGACCAGTATATATTAGAGCATGTAAGCCACTAATTGGATGCGACTTAGATGTATATATGTGTCTGTTGTCGAGTTCGCCGTGCCATCACAAGTCATGTTCATCAAGGGTATGCACAAGCAATTAACGGTAGCCAATTCCAGCTCAGAGCATCACTTATTGTCAATCATTTACTTTCCTACCTTTAACTAATAGCTTTAGTCTATTATTCGAGCCTTTAACAAGTCTGTCGTATGCCATGCAGAGGCGTCTGAGAGTTGTGTTAACTCACACACGCCAAGCCACACTCCTTCAAAAGCCCACCATCAATTACACCAGAATTATAAAAACTCTTTATATCTGTTATCCATCTCCTTTGTTTGATTTATGATTGGCTTTTGTCGTAACAAGGCTGTGGTGTTGTGTTGGTGTCTCCTTTTGGCAATGAGCGATAAGGCTCCGAGACCTCACCAACATGTCTCAATTGGCAGGCTATATAAGCCGCAACAGCAGCTCCTTATAGCACATACGACCAAAGCTCGAAGAGAATACGGGATCCCGTCCGCTCTCCCATAGTCAAGCTTCGAAGCGCCGGATTAGTAGTTGGGTCGGTGACGACCAGCGAATCCCCGGTGTTGTATGTTTTTTGCATCTATTATTTCTTTCTTTTTTCTTTTTTCTTTTTTCTTTGTAGATGGACCTCCTCATCATCAGTTATTGAAATTCAAGAGATTATCTAGTACTCTGGTGTCTAGATAGTTCAGTGGCATATCCATCAAGTCTGTATCCGTCGCCACGTCTGCACTTCACTGCCGTAGAGTTTGAGTTCAGTTTTATTCTTGGTCAGTAGTTTTCGACCACATCTGCTTACTGACAGTAACAAACCGAATCTATCAAGGTATTTGACTTCTCTAACTTCGACTTATTAGTTTATCAGGGCCTATCAACAAGAGTCATAGTTGGCTATGGCGCTTGTTGCCGAGACCTACGGGACGGTTGACCAGCCTCGCAATATCCAGTATCTACAAGTAAACATGGCTATTTATTACTATCAATTACGGTTGGTTGAATAGACGCGCTGTTTCTGAATATCTTCTCATGTTGTGATGTTACTTTCGGCGTACCCCTTTTCCATGCTAGCTTTACCACTGAGCTTCGATTTCACACAAGCTCCAAGTATAACTTTTTTTCAAATTAATCCATACTCACACATAGACAGTATCATTGGCCAATTCAATCAGGAATCGTAAAACTTTCTTCAGGATGGCGGCAACTGCATCGGAACGGCCGAGTGGACGACTCTTAGCATTTGGCCGCCTGTTGCATCGTCCAACATTACATCTCCTACCTGCCTCCGTTTTTTTTTTTTTTGCCATTCTGGGACATCTCACAAACGCTATTGGAAGCCGATCTTGTGACCAAACCAGCCATAAATGTCAATTCACTCTTCGTTCGATGCATTTGGCAATATTGCCGTGAATAGCGGAAGGAAAAGGAACTCCGAGGTCGTCATTTCGTAATATCTGTCAACTGTCACAGTCTAAATGCAAACCATGTAAACTCTTCCAACTTCTTCTAATGGGTGTTCAATGGAATGCAGAAAGTCTTCTCTATCATACTGAAAGTTTCAGCTTTTGTTCTCCGCCCACTCAGAGGATGATGGCCCGACGACTACCAGTCAGCACGTCTGCGATGGTTTATCTCACTCAAGACACTGCCAATGGGACTTCGTATTATGGTGGGTAATGGCCGGGAAGGCCTACCAATCTGGATTTGAGATATGTCTGAGAGCCTCGAGAACTCTGTACGATAACCTTCTTGCTCAAGAGAAGGTTATTTATACCGAGCCTCTCTCTCCGCAGGCCAAGAACCATAGTTGTTTGAACAGTCAGAAACACTGCTTATCCTTATTTGCCATACTCGGTTGCTATAACCATCGTCGCTCTACTCTTGCAACTTATACTCACAAGTGACCTTTGTTTTTTCGCCATTAGTATGTCTGCTATTGTCGTAAGCACTGAGCTTCTTTCTCTTCCTTACGACCCGTCTGCTGGTTTCACGAATGGCCTCCGGCTGTCTGCTGCTTAATTCCACGTTTGCCATGACTCTGAAGTAGGTTAAGCGGGTTTAACTGTAGCGCCGTGTATGTACTGAATCTCTTAGAAACTTGGTACAAGATCTCATTGAGCGATTGTTGTTATCTCAACCTTCACCTTTCGCTGCCCTGGACAGACTACTGCTTCATAACAATCTGGTTCAAGTATCGGTCAGAGAGCGCGATTTGCTCCTTCATTGCCATCTGCTGGAGCACTTCGTCACAATCAGATCAAAGATTGATACATGGGCAGAGGAAAACACGGTTGATGAGGGCGCAGCCTGGACCTGCTACATCAACGCGGGCATTCGTCGACTAACATAATGGTTTGAGGCCTCACGTTCAGGTCATGTTGATCTCAACACTCACACCCCTCCACTCGATGCTCTTCTCGTATGACATGCCTTTCTCCAAGATCCAGTCGAGTGGAAGAGATTTGCCGACTCAACCGAGGTCGAATTCTCTGGGTGGAATCCCGATGATTTGGTGGGTGCCATCAACTGTGCTGTTTACAACCCAACATCTGACTCTACTGTAGTCGAGAGCCCTACGGAATGACGAGTCCGGAGAGTTTTGTCCTTCATGGGATTGCATGACTAAGATCAATCGAGTGTACACTCACGAAGACGTCCGTACTTTCATGGATAAGTCAATTGACTATGTCTTCAGCCGGGAAGATAGCAACGACACTACGCAAGCAGTGACTCGCCTATTCGATAGCAAGCGATTGTCACATGCAGTCATAACGCTAAATGGCGAATGGAACTTCACTTTTGACTTCCACTCAGCTGTACAACGCCAGCTCGACTTGGCAGAGGAAGTCATCAAATTTCCCTGGCATCGGATGTACACGTCTCCTCTGGACAATGAATGTGGGTTCAGGGCTGCTGTAAAACGCTATCGGAGACTCATGACTCTAGCGCAGTTCTGGGGGTCAATGGAGCGACTAGAACTTGGGATTTCAGGTTGCTCAGGCGTCACTTATCTCGACATCGATCTTGTATGGAGAACCCACATACTTGCGCCTAAAGAGTACCGTTGGTTTTGTATCGAGACATTCGGAGGCCTCGTGCTCAACATTCCAAGCCCCTCTGGCACTCACGAGCCAGAAACGGTTGTCCTCGATGACACATCTCAGATTTACCAGCATGTCTTCGGAGAAGAGTACGCCGTGTGTCTTTGCTGGCCATGTGTTGATGGGCGTCGAGCCGATGACTCAGGCTTGTGGAGTTTGAAATGGTTTACCGGATCAGTGTCCAGGACGCCGATAGCAGAGGAGATCGACCGTCGTCGAAACGCAGCTGTGGACATTCCTCTCGTGTTCGGAGGTAAACAATGTCGCAGATGTGGCCCTCATCCACGGAGACATTGTCTGAAGAAGGATATTGATGAAAGTTTAGAACAGGAGCCGCTGCTCCTTGGACGTTCTAGCACTGATCGCGTTCTAACGCCGACGGTACCAGTTGCCGCTCCCCCAAGTCCTGTTGGACGAATGGAGCATGCTACTGATCCATTCAGAGATCTGGAAGTTTCTCCGGTCCGTTCTGAAACTCTTGGCGAAACCTCTTCACGGTCTTCACTCCCATCAGAAAACCTCGAAACTCCAGATCCAACCCTGTGGGACACAAACGGAAACACAATCGTGGAGTCCCTAGACAGTAACGGGAGCAGACCTCTAACCCCTGGTCTCTCAGATGGATCTGCATGTTCTGGTGACAGCAGTGACGAAGCTGTTCACAGAAACTACGCTTTCGAAAGATGTGGGAACGTTTACCAGATACCTCCCCTAGAGCACGCATCCACTCTCCGTACCAACAACAGGAATACCGATGCGACAAGACATCGCCCACGAGGCAGATCGCGAATCAATGGGATGACTGGTCCAGAGCCTGGGCCTGGGGTATGGTTGGCTGGTCAAACTTGGTAGTTAAGCGACGAGCCAAGACCGAGGCTATTTGCTATGAATGTTTCACCACCACTGCTGGGGATTGTTGCAGCCTAGATAGAGTTATTTTGTGCTAGCTCACGAGATGGACGCCTGATATAGCCCTCGTGTTTCTGGCCCTAGCTCGCAACAAACAATACTTGAGTCTAGGTGAAACTGCGGAGGAACGTAGAATATTGACTGATCAAAGTATTTGTTTCTGGTCGCACACATCGATGATTCAGAGTGAAGTCAATGATGGGTCTTGACTCAGCACCGTTGCAGTTTGCTATACTAAAAGTCTTGACTCCTGTTCCTTGGCTGGCTGCAACCTCGCATTCGCTCGTTGCAAGCTACATTAGTATAGGTATATGTGACAGCTGGGGGGTTATATTACGGTACATGCAGTTTCTCAAAATTTACACATCATTTGAGATCTACATCCAGAGTCTCAAGGGGAATAATCATCGCAACTAGTACTGTAGACTAGCCAACGGTTTGGTTCAGGTCACCCCCGCCCTTCCTTTCTCCCTCACAGGTCCATGTGATGTCTGAGACATGCAGGTCGCGTAGGAGGCATTGCCACGCATAAGAGCTGGACTATCGATCGGTAGGGCACAAGGCCCGACCCATCAGCGGAAACAATCACACACATAAACGTTGTATGTAGGGGGGTCAATGCGTGCCGTGTACCACACAATTGCACAGACGACTCCCAAGCCGTGGCAAAAAGCAATATCTTGCATTCGCTAGAGTGGTATGCGGACTGCACCGTTTCACTCGTAGCACTTTATGCATCTTTCTTTTTGTTTTGCACTTTCCCCTTTTCGTCCAACTCTGTACTCCTTGCTGACAATGAGGAACCAGCAAAAGCAATGCGAAAAAGTCATACGATGAGGGTCGACGATCGGATATGAGCAATGACCTAACGTTAGAAAGCAACTCTCCCGGCAAAAGCAAACATACTCGGTCATTTTTCAACTCGGTTATAGGGATCCTCTAGCGGTTACCAGTTGATGAAACCCTGTGGCTTGTTTTCTCTTTTGGTGCTTTTGTACGAATTCGATCGTGCCTGCGTGCCTATGGAATGCGTTTGAGGCGTGATTGTGATGATCGACGGCTATGAATAGCAGTAGGCGCTAAGCATGTACGGTACTGTATCAAGAAGTCACACCCGCTCCATCATCATCATATACATTCCTCTGGGAGGGAGTTGCCAATTTGATCGCACTCCACATGATTTTGCCACGCCCTGCCATGAGGTGGTTGGCTAACCAGTAACCAGCGTCTATCACTCGCTCGAGATTGCTTTGTTTCAAAGCCATGTTTTTTCGTGTAAATGTCTCTGGCTTACAATCCCTAGATTGCATGGGAAGCCACATGGGAAATTCCCAGCAGGAAAGCAAGGGAGACTCGCTCAACGGTGCCGGAAGATACCCGCTAACGGACCGTGGCAATCAAAGGTTAAACACCATCGTCCCCTGCCAAGTTGGAATAGCAACAAAAATGCAGTCATCAGTCAGGTTGTTGTTACAGCTGTTGGAACAACCTTTCGGGACACAGGTCCGATACCCGTTCAGCGCAGAGTGCCCAGGGCTCGTACCGGGGCCTGGTAATGTGTAATTTCAAACAAATATCGTTTAGACACTTTAAGTAACCAAATTCCCCAACACCGTGGCCGATACTACATAGGTAATATGTAGGAATTCGAAACGCCAGGTCCCCAAGTCACCGGTGGGTTTCGTCCTAGCAAGGTTACGGATTGGTACCCACGAGGCGCTTAGAACAAGGGAAGCTGAAGCTACCCCTACAACTTGTAGAAACGAGACGCATGTAATTCGCAGGTATGCGGTAATGTCGAGACCGTTGAGTGGCTGTTGCTGCAAATAAAGGGTACGATCATAGGCTGTGCCAGTCATTATCATAAGTCTGACAAGTGTGTTGGCTCTGGCCACGTCCCCCTCAAGGCAATGTATGTCAGCAAGGAGGCATCGGAAACGTGATAGTGCTGAATATTTGGACGTTCTTCTCCATCCCCGATCGCCCCCTGCCTCCCTTTTGAGCTGCCCTGTCTGTTGACCATCAAGATCAACGTGTCTCCGCCAAAACAGTAATCAAGAGTTCATCTCAAGCCCCAGTGAGACAGGCCCTTTACGTGCGGACCCAGTGTGCATCCATGGCACCTTATGAAAGGGTTGGCGTCAGGATCACACACACATCCCCACGCGATCTTTGCCCTCTGTGACATCCCCGGGCCGTCATCCTGTTTAGCCGTCAGGCTCAAGGTAACCAAGATCGACGCATGAAAGTCCTCATAATCATCGGTAGAGGTTATCAGCATGCCAGCTCATATCCTGCTTTGGAATATGGATGGAAGCTCGGCGATCCATCAAGGTTTTTCAAAATTCTTGATCTTAATTATTATAAGAAGTCATTGAGTTCCCGGCAACGCACTCGTATTGCCAATTCCTCGACAGCTCATCTTGCCGCTCAGGAGACGAGAATATCTTCGACTATAATTTAACAGCTAAAGATATTAATCCGACACCATCACTTGTCATATTTGCAGTAAGGTTCTCAGCGCAAAATATGACGTGAGGGATGATTGCTTTCCCCCAAACCGTTTCTAGAGCACCCCCTGATCCTGATCCTGATCCTGCTGCAAAGGGGATCACAAATGTCGCACACCCACTAGTGACGCTGTGGTAAGCTCAACGGCCCGAGTTTGAGCATTTGGGAACTATCAGTAGGGGCAACAACTGGGACCAGTCTGAAGAAACCATTCTCAAACAAGGGATCAGAAGAGCCTAATGCAGTGTCCTTGTCTGGTTAATTTCTGATGTTGTCAGTATGAACCTTCCTTGTCATATTCTTCATGAAGGCCCCGTGTACGATGCGATACAAGGCCCTTCCATGAGATCTTGAGTCGGCAAAGCTGGGTTAAGGGTCTGACGTCCCGACGATCCTTAGGCAATAGACTGATTTGAGGCAGGACAGGGTGAAAGGTGATGGCGGGATGTTCCGGCCATGGAGACCCTTGTAACGAAAGGCTTATGTTACGCTTTATAACATGGGACGAAGTCGATCAAGTTTCCTTGACACGGACCAGAGTTGCCAAAAGAGGCAATCTCATCGTCGTGTGGAGAGTGATAACGGTCGCCAAGTTTAGGGGCACCAGACCCTCGGGCCAGGGATCGAAAAGTGATTGTGAGAGAATAAACTGCATTGGGCTTGGGGGTAACGAAATTCCAGAACGGAAGAAGCCGTGGCCAGGAAATGGACCTATCCTCAAACCAGGATTCTTGTCGCCATAATGGAGTTAGTAAAGTGGGTGAAGCCTGGCAATGGTGGTGTTGAAGCGGAGGATGCGGACAGGAGGCGTAGTTCTGTACGTGCAGTACTTCTGCTGACTCAACGCTGCATGCAAATAATAGATAGTCCAAGAGAAGAGTGTCTGCCACAATGGCGATGTAATGGCAGGTGCCATGGATTAGAAGCACCTGGCGTTGTCGGTCCGTTGGTTACTTGTCAACCTCGGCAGTCGTGTTAGCGCAGTCAGTTCACAAGCCAGAAGCCCAACCGAAGCCTTTGAAGTAAAGTGTCAATGCTGGTGGCAGTTAGTCCAGTAGTCTGGTGAATAAGCCTCAACCCCAATAACGCGCCCGCGTCTCTTTGGGCAAGCTAGGTCAGGTCTAGCAAGTACCAAGCGCGGAACTTTCACCCTCGGCAGGTTTAGCGGGTACATACGCAAGAGATTACAATCAGGCCATCACGACGGGTGGAGGCAGAGCGGAGGGGGTGTGTCGGGGCGTGAGAGGCCCAAATCGAGTATAAATCCATCTCGCGTGGCCGGTGTCTTGGGATGACAAGGCAAGGGTAGCCCCTGCTGATCGCCGCCGATTCTGAAGATCACTGGAAAATCCTCGTGGGACAGTTAGTGCTTGGGTATTCTTTTCCCAAATGAGAAGCCTGGCTGATCATTTGGAGGCACTGGCCAATGACAACTCGGAGATATCCGTCAGGGTTGTTGATGCAAACGAGTCCATGGGTATAGATGCGCATGCGATACGATGCTTCGTTGTGTACGGATGTATAGAAGTTTGTTAGATAAACATTGAGGCTATGATCGGGATGGCGAGGTGGTGTTGTAACGATCTCGATAGTGGCTGGAAGGCGTATTCTGTCCGACCTGGTAAAGCGGAAGAGGCGGCTGTCAGGACAAGGAAATGCCTGATATCGAGCGGAAATGACCTGAATCTGTGAACGGACTCAGGCAACATCGCTGGACGAGGTTGAATCTGCGAGGCTGTTTTGAGGTCCGTGTCAGCATCGTGCCGTCTCTCAAGCTTGTAGTGGACATGTTTTCCGATATAGTAAGTGCTAACGGGCACGATCGTTGTCGATGCTTTAAAGCCTTGTTAATAACATAGACATTATTTATTAAATTTTGTTTTTGCGTCAACTTGAGTTGGAGGGATCCGTCGTTAATGTCCGTCAGCTAAAACAGATCGCTGCACCTACTACAGGTGACTATAGCTGTGGCAGATACGACCAGTAGGGGCTCGAGGCCAGGTGTTTCAGGGCGTGAGTTCGCTTAATGTTCGGGCGACATGGCGTGTCCCAAAAGGGTAGGCGAGATATAACATGTCGAATGGTCAGTACCTGCCTCCACAGTCGAGCGGCATTTCTGCACGCATCTCCTTTTGGCTGAGGTGTTGATGATGACGGGAAAGAGCTGTCTCATGCATTCTTATGATTCAATGCTGTCTATCTGCATTCCATCTTCCCCAACTCGATGATCGTAATGTTGCTGCAGTCAACAGAAAGAAGAAGCTGATCAGCTGACGTATGTACAATCCGCCTTGGTATTTGTTTGGCTTACCATTGTGATAAGTGAACAACACCAAGCTGCCCTATCTACAACCCAAACCTCCTATCCCACCAGGTTTTTTCAAGCAATAAATAGCTAGCACTACCTACCTGATGGGTCATGCATGAGAATGGGTGTACAAAGTACCGATCGACGGATTATCCTCAAACCAAACCTTGTTCTCACACCAAAAAGTTCTGGAAATGACCCTGGCGAACTTAAATGGCCGCTACTCACCAATCAGCACCTCTATTGTTCTCCCAGATCCCACCAGTATCATCATCCCGCTGTGCTTGCCGGTCAGTTGGTACCCAGCTAATTTCGGTACATACGTAATTGAGGTGTCCTGTGCGTCTTGATGTGAAACCAATGCGTCAATTTGTTATTACGTGCCATCAAGTGATGGCTTTTTTAGACTCACAAAGCAAATGCCGAATGCGCCCCCAAAGACACTTTCAGGTTTTGCCGTACGATAATGAGAAAGGTTGACAGTGTGCCTGCAGATTTTCGTCAAGCAAACCAGAACGGTGAGTTGATACATGGCGATGTTTGATACAAGACAACGCTAACTATGGACGTGCTCTGTTAGTACACAACCGAATTCTAAGTCCGGCCAGCCCGTGTTCACAGGTTTGACTATCTCGGGTCGAGTTGTATCGTGCATTTTCGCAATATAGCAGCGCTATGCAAGTATCGCGGCCCGTTTCTGTCTCGATCATGTGGTCACCGCCTTTAATGATAATCACAAACCATTCGCAGCTTCTAATTCAAAATTTCTTATGGCAGCAAAACAAGCTCTGACCATCACATCCATGTGTTGTCAATTGAAAAACACCGTCATCATAGTAATAATATGCTAACAAATTTAGATAGACTGTCTGTTTTGGCAAGGAGACGATAACTTTCGAGGCGGTATTTGTTGCTTCGAACTCCACTCGCAATTCCGTGCACTTTGCAATATTCATACGCAGAAACAACAACTGGCATAGAACGCCCCGCTGATCACTGGCCATCCCACAAACCACCGACGGCCAGCCCGACTTTGTCTTACAACTGCCGTTGCGTTAATAACGAGGGTAATTTCTATGTGAGTTCGACATACGGATACTACTGAAGATCCCGCAATGCAAATCCTGACCATGACGTCGATGGAACCCAAGAAATGCTAATTCTATCGGCCAAGGAACAGGTAGGTGGGCAACTGCCCTGGATATTAAATTTAGGCCTGTTATCTTGCAACATCTAGCAATCATAAACAGCTACACATGCCGGGGGAATATGCCGATAAATCCTTAACCTAACCAGCTAGAGTGACTGCCAGAATCCATCCTAAGCCCGTTCTATGATGCTAAGAGCAGGAGGATATGTGCACAGCTGTGAGTGAATTGACAAAACTTCATCATACAGTTCTGACTCGATCCAGTCGTGGCTTGCAGCAGTGTGGCTATTACCGCATGGCAAAAAGCAATCAAAGGGACTTGGCACGTGTTGTCGCTTAAGGTTTGACACGCGCGGTCTTGGACGGCTTGTCTTGTTTTGTCTCGCATTCGCCAAGCCAAATTATTATGGACTCACCACGAGAGAAAGCGTTAGACCGCCCACAATCTGGACGGATATTCCTCGAAGCGGCAGGGTCGAGTTCCTAGTACATCTGGACGAAACACTTGCGAAGACCTGTTCTATAATTCAGGGATCTGAATGTTACTGTCGTGCTTGCAAGCGCCAACCCCGATGATCATGACTCGCGAGCCGGGATTCTTGGTTGTTGCTCTGAACCACCTGCTTGGAGATGCCAACAGGCAGGGCAGGGTAAGGGCAGGGCACTGAACGCTTGGCTTCGTCCCCTTGTCCCTCTTCGTCATGAAGAAGCTTGGTCGATCGCTAGCAAGTACACACCCACCTCCTGAACCCTACGCCAAGCAATCCCGCCAGTGTAAGCGAGGAAGGGGAGGCGCCCGCTAAAACGACGATCATCCAAATTAGCCTGCTTACCAGTGACGACACAGGCAGACAGGTGAAAACGAAAAGGTCTCCAGAAACGTGGCTACCACCCAAACGCCAATCGCACCAATGCCAGTGCCGGCACGCCATTGTTGCACCGCCAATTGTGCTTGCTGCACAAGCGACGAGAAACTCATGGTCGATCATAACAAAAGAATTGTGTTACTTGATTTCAAACGGCTATAACGAGCGAGGCCTTCATTTATCGAAGAACCTCTAACCAAACACGAAGAACGGTGATAAACGCAACTGTTGATTGGATCAGGGGCGCTCGGCGTGATTTGAAACGACCCCGAGTATGAACAAAGGGATCGGAGGAATGAATGCACAGCACTTGGTCAACTAGCGACCAGTAACACCAGCAAGCTACGGAGATGTGATGATTTTGAAATATTTCTCACCAGATATTTCTAGTGGCTTCAATATTTACATGTTTTTATTGCCCACGAGCGAGGTTAAAATATGCCACCTATGAAAATAAAGCGCTCGTTGACTACCAATGGATATTGGTGGTCGCTGGCTGACCAAGCTCTGGGGTAAGCGGCTGGAAGCATCTGCAACTTTTACACGCAGGTTGACCGCAGAGACGAAACCAGGATGGAACGAGAGTTGAGAACTAAGAGCGGTTATGATACCAAATAAGGAAATGGTGGTCCGGGAATCGATGCAATGCGGCGCCAGGGATGGTACATAGAGCACGCTTGGCCGAGTATTAAAAAGACGCCCTATCTCGGCCGGGCGCGTGGGAGACCCGGCGCCGGAAAATGACTTCTGCGTAGGTATGGGCTAAGGTTGTGACACACAAACACTACCGCCTTGTTCGGCGAACTTAATGCACGATCCATTGAGATGAGAGGGGAAGTATTTTTGAGCGGAAAGGGCACGGCCGTTGAGCGCCAGGGGAGAGAACACGAGGGAACATGCAATTGTCTTCGATTCATCGACGCCGGCAAATGAGACCCCACGAAAGCCATGTCGAGACAGCAGGGATGAAGGTTCATGGCGAGACCGCCTCCGAGTACTCTGTATTTTAGGTGCCTGGAGAGATACCAATCTATCGACCGTTTGACCACGGGGCGATCCACGATCATCCTGGCGCATGGCCAAGCCTTCTAACACATATGCACACACAGACACACCACACACTCGTGGATCTTACTCGCACCCACGCCCATAATGCTAAAGATTCGCCGTTCAGTTTCTTGCACTCCCCCCCCGGAACAAAGGTATACATCAGACATGCAAGTCGCCCCTACCCTGCTCGAGATCACCACCAGACTCGTCACAGCATTTCCTCCATGTGTGGATACATGACTGCCGGAACAGATGCTCGACACAAACTCAACAGGTTAGACCCATCGAGCGGCTCCAGGGAACCTCTAGCCAGAGTTCTCGAGTCCCTGCCCTTGTTTATCGTCTCCTTCGCGACCCTGTTCCGTTGCCAAAGAATCCCTGAGATTCGATGCACCGGCAATGCCCCACTCCCAATTTGTGACAGCTGCGCTTGAACGGTCCTTTTGGAGGGGGTGTGAGCGCATGAAAGCAAGTATACGGCCCTCAGATCTGATAGACGGGTCTCCTCCACCCTTTGACAGGTTGCTTTCCCACACCAAAGACTTACTT